TGTTGTTGTTGCTGTGCTTTAATATACCCTCCCATCACAAATGAAGTACTTGATCATGAATAAGATGTTAAGCAGAGTGCAAAGATAAAATAATGATCTCAATTACAAGTTATAAATCCCCCAGAGTTATGATATACTTGCAATCATTTTAGCATGTCTCATTTATGTTTTGATTAAAAGGGATCTCTCTGTAAGTACTGGAGGGCTTCCACAGATTAAATCCAATTAACATTCAGTAAAAAGGCCCAGCAGGGATTTACATTCTAACCAGGAAATCCTCAGCCCCCTGTGCAGCCTTGCTGGCAAGTAACTGTGCTTTCAAAATCACTGTAATTACTGTATTGTCACAGAAAACAAAACAGACAAATACTACCAGGTTAGTTCCTTAAATTATCTGTGAATAACAGTGAAGGAAACAAACTGAGGTGTTAACAGAACTCATTTGCTTGTGCCTTTCCTTTACACTCCTCATCCTGTTCAAACTTCCACGAAAGGGGCCGATGCACTGTGTGCTGCCGCCCCAACAGTGACAGCTCCATAACAAGCCCGGTCCACGGAAGAGCCTCGAGGTCCACTCTGCCAGAGCTACTCTGAAAAGCACCAAAGGCGCATGCAGACAGCTCCCTTTCTCTCGAAGGACAAACGCACACAGAGTCAACCTGCGACATTTGACGGGTGGTCGCTCTGTTCTGCTATCCCCTACAGTCCCCTGTCACAAAGTCCTCACATACATGCAGCAAACAACATATCAAGCACTTTGAAATGTCAGCAACAGGGCCGGTTGAGGTTCCAGTTCTCCAAGTATTGACCACTAAATTATAGGCCTTTAGTTTAGATGCAATTGGATTAATCCCCTTTCTTGGTGATTAGGTCAGAAAGAACCCAAGTTGATGTATTTAAATGCAGGTTTGCTTGACTAGCAGTCCAAACGCCAAAATATATCAAATTCACAATGCTATAAAACAGTGGCGGGCAACAGATCCTCACATCTGAGAAGTTGAAAGTAACTTTTTGGCATTTCTGCTTGTCAAATGATGTAAACAATTAATCCACAATCAAAAATAGCTGTGGATTCATTTTCTGACATTTGACCAATCAACTAGCAGACCAATCGATTCAGCACTACGTCCAAGGTGAAGTAAAACACACTCAAACTTATTCGCCTCACTTTGTTTTTCTCCCAGTTTAATGACTGCTGCCATGTGTTGGGATCTAATCATATCCTGAAAATGATCAAGGCCAAAAGCCAGTAAAATGTCTCCTTTGAAATGTCAGGGAAGCATCTGGTTCCGGCACCTTTGAAACCCAGAGAGAGAGAGAGAGACATCTGTCGGATGTGGTAACGTACCCAAAGAACCCTAAGATCACCATATATGCATACATCTTTACATCTCATTCACGCAACACATAGCCCTCTGCAAATAACAGTGTAATATGAAATATGTTTTAAGTTCAAATGTATGGGAAGGTTTTTTAGAAAGTTTCCCGTAGCACTATGAAACAGAACATATTTTTCTCATGACTGGTCTTGTGCGGACACGGAGCAGATGGTGTTATCTACCTCGTGGGTGGAAGGAGCAACAAGTGTGCAATTAAAGGCCTGAAGAGATGCCTTCCGTTCAAAACAGATAAACTCAGGAAAGCAAACCAATTCAGCAGTATATACGGACAAATTATTAGATCTTAATATATGGTAAAATGACACCAGCAAGCAAACATGAAAGCTAATGAACAGTCTATGACATTTTAAGTGGTCAGCAATATGTGGGCTGTCCCTAAGTTATCGGTCTTTGCATACACTTAGTGGTAATCATCCTTCCACAATTGCCTATCCAGCTGTTTTATTTTCCAGCTGAGCGTGCTGAGGTTGTAAGTTTTATAAAGAAGAACGAACTGCAAGAACAAAAGAAAAAGGAGAAATGACGCAGCACCAGTAGTTAGCTAGTCATTTTATATCATTTAAGGGCTTCTTCAACACAAGTTGCCGTGGCTATTGTGTGGGAGCAACAATGGCCTTGCTCCATCGTTCATTCAAGCCGAGTCGGTATCAATCACATGACACTTCAGTGATAGATAGGCAATCTAATAACACTAGGAGCAAAAATAACTTCACTCACTCAATCCTTGACCTTACGAAGCGAGCAGTCAGTTTGGTTAAAAGCTACAGCTATCACATAAACATTGATTTTTCTTTGCGATCAATTGCAGTGGAAACATTTGAACTAAAATGGCCCTAGAGAGCTGTCACTAATAAATAATTGCTGTTGTTAAGGATTTATACACCGGCTCCGCCTCCTCTAGAGCAGCTCATATTTAAGACTGTTTTTGACTGCGGGCTATTTAGACAGAATAAAAAAATAAAAAAAGACAACGCAAGCAGGTTTTCAGAGCTGTGAAGGAACTGCCTTTGGACGAGGAACCATCTCAGCATGTGTAGAGCCGCAGGACAGACACAATTACTATCAAACGATAGCGGCCATGACACTGCTGAGGCGCCACACAAAGGACACAGAGGAAGTGGTGAAACATCTAGGTCACACAGAGTTCAAACATGCTAACAGCTCCAGCGGTGAGAGCCGAGGACGTTTAAAGATGATGCAAGATTTGTTCAGCGTGATGGCACAAAATTGATTTAAAAAGGAGGACATGAGCATGACAAGGCAAGCATCCTGTCTGCAGAGGAACATTATGGGTCACTGAAACTTGCTGATGGATGGGAGAGAAAACTGATGGGTGTGTAACAGAATATTGTCTTTTATCTCAGTGGCTGTAATTTGTTGCAATAACAACGATTAGTGGTCAGCATTTTGGACCCTGCGACTGTTTTTCCGAACCATTTTGCCTTTATGTTGCACATAGTGTGAAACTACAAATAAGGGCATCAGATTCGCTGTTAAGCTCGGTTGACTGTCTCCCACTTCAGCAAGCTAGCGCATAACAAGGTGCACCTGTGCTCAGGGTCTTGCCAAAAAAACATGTTTTTAATAAATCCCTTCTAAAACGGCAATGCACAAATTAATTAGAATGGGCAAGAAACATAACCACCTTAGAGTATAAGCTCTTTGACGTCTGAAATGATATTTCACGCAGGTGACGTCTGTAATAGTGTGGTCGCACTGCAGGGGTTAGAAAGTGAACTTGAGAAAAATACATTGACGCTATAGCCTCAAGTGAAGACATGGAAGGAAAATAAACATGCAGGAATTGATTTACAGACAAAGTTGGTGAAGCTAATCTGACATTTAAAATTATTGTTTTGTTTCTTTTGATGTTAGAACTGATTATTTTTACCAACAGCGTAAAATGGTAATAATTCATGACCAAGATCGGAATAGATTTCACATAAGCTTGATGCACTCCAATAACCCCGGTATGTATATGCAGCGTCTATCTTCTTTCATAAAAGAAAGATTTTTTGTCATGGAGAGGACAAAGTATGAATAATTACCAAAAGGCAGCTCATGACAACGAATCATATTTTTGTATTATGTGTTCAGTCCAAAGAAATCTAAGCCACAGCTCCCGGGGTTCCGTCAAACATATCAATATTCAGCTGATTATTCCTTTAATCTGTGGCCAAGAGATCCTCACATTACTCCTCCAAACACTGCAGGGAATATCCACTAATGATCAAAAATAATAAGGATGTATGAAGTAAATAGCAAATAATTAATTCAAGTAGGCCTCCCCATTTATAATACATTATCAGAGGTGACCTTCTTGGATGGAAACAAAGCAAAAGCGGAAAGATTATTTGGCAATGTTGTTCCATCTTCAAAAAGAATCTATTGACGAAATGTTTGATACAATTCCTTTGTTCTCTGGGGTCCATTGATGAATCATTCAATCGACTAAAGAAAACTTGCCGTTACTGTATTGCTGTATGTGTACGATTACTCATTCACGATATACGATGCACTGTACCTGTTAAAGGTTTCCTGATCCCCCAACTCATCTGCAAACTGCATTATTTATCCAACGTTTCCATCCCAAACTGCAGCACCGTCATGAGTCATGTTCAAGACTAAATACTGCTCGTGACTTTATGACAGATGGCAGCCAAAATGTCAGACACACGCATGGGGCTCACTGAGGGGAGATCGATTCAGTGGGGTACCCCTGTGTGTCTGATGGATCCCCTTAGGAGAGACGCCACCAAAGCCATTTTTTGAACTCAGCAAGCCACAAAGAGAGACCCACCTACCCGAAGTCCTGATTCCATGAGAGCAGAGCACGAAACTTAGAGATGCCTCCACCTCGTTCATTCACTTACAGGCTTCCAGGAGTCCATTCAGTGGCGCGCACACACTCTGGGGACAAAACTTATTTAACATTCAACTAAAAATATTTGGAAACTCCTGCTGACTGAGTAATCTGTAAATAGACAGATAACACCTTACCAGGCATGTAACATCACTGAAATACAAAGAATTGTGTCTATAATCAACTAACTTTAAGAAGCATTCAATTCATATCAAACAGAGTGTTAACGTATCAATTTAAGTTTTAAATATTGTGAACCCATTGTCATTTATGCGGAATTGTGTTGTGGGCCAAGATTATTTCTACACGTCTTCCACAAAATCAAACCAGAATACAAAGTGCCAAAGGTCTCACCTCAGACTTTGCGTCGAGCAGCTTCTCCTTGATGCAAATGAGGCAGTTTCATCCCACACAGAGAGAGAAATCACCCAGGAGCCCCACTGCCTCACTCTCGCCTGTGACTGGATGTTCTATGATCTACACTTTACTTAATGAGGTGTCATGTACAGTTTATATAAAAAGGTATGACCTTATTAAACTGTGAGTGAAAGAGTGAAGCAATAGCTGGGGGAAAGATAAATGGCAAGGTTGTATAGAAACTCATTGTGCCTGTAACATTCACGGGACAAGAGGCCCTCCTTCTGATTGTTCCGAGATGTATTACTGACATTTGGGGCCCTCTTCAAAACGGTGCTTCAGAATAAAACGTAGGCACTATTAAAAATTTGAATATTGCATTTACTTTAAACTGATTTTATTTTCAAAATCTGTCAAACAACACATAAAAGATTCACATTGATATTAATTGTAAAATACAGAAACAAACCAATCAAAATCATAATTTAAGTGCAACTGGGTTCCTTCGAGTGTGCATCAAATACAGCAAAGAATCCGAAAAATGTACGACTGGAGCTGTTATTGCAACTACAATTTTGCTGCGAGTGCAGAAGGTAAAAGATTATTTTCCAAAGAGTCACGCTGCTCTTTAAATCAAGCCAAGCTTTCCAAACCCCGTTCTTGTTATTTTTTTCCTTTAACTTGATTTCTGACAGCCAATTCAATTAGGCTGGATATGTGTGGGTGTAAAAAAAATAAAAAAAAATAAAAAAGGCAACACGACAAACTCAGAAGATGGATGGCAACCTTTGCTTCACCATTAAATTCACAATTGCGTCATATTGAAGCTCAATCCATTGGCGTATTAACAGCAGCAGCAAAATGAACACGGCGACAGACGGGGTCGTAACTAATCACCCTCTGCATGCTAGATTGTCATTTCTTTTTTCGGCTGCCAGTGGTGGAGACCACATTTGGTTTATCCACCGCTGTTAATCAAGTTTGTCTTACAAAATCAAAAGAAGCCGAAGAAGGTTTTAAAATCGTTTTTTTCCCTTTTTTTATTTTTTATTAAATAAGGCATGGTGACTCATCAGCCACCTGACCTTAACGGCGGCGGTCTGCAGGGACGTGATGTCTGGCTCAGCCCCTGTCGGAGTCATCCGGCGCTGGGGAGGAGCTGACCTGTTGGTAGATGAACGAGTAGAGGCTGACGTCAGGGCGCCGACTCAGGCAGCTCTTGCACACCGAGCTGTAGTACTGCCCCAGGAGATCATACACCTCCCCTGTGACGGAGACAAGGAGATTGTGTATGTTCTCTATAGTCTCATATCACAGCAAACTAAATGTGGAGTTTTCAGGGAAAATAATTGTTTGCAAAAAAAACGAAAAAGGAAATATTCCAAGACCTAATTAATCATATTATTATTAAATTATTATCGCGCCCGTTGGCAGTGAAATCTGAAAGAGTGCAAAAAAGAAAGGCATAGACACAGTTGCATACAACCAGGAAGCAGACCGGGTGCTTGTTTTCCTTACCTACACAGATCTTTCTGCGAGTTAGGAAAGAGTGCATCTTGTGGACATCTGTCATGAGCTGGCTGTCACCAAAGGTGAAATAGGCCACATCTCTGCCCGCCTCAGCAGCTGCCAGCATCTGGAGCAGAGCTGGAGGAACAGAATCCGTGAGAGTGGCAAAAAAATCTGTTTCATTACAGTAAAAGGATTGTTTTTCAAAGGTTTTTTTTTTTTACACATTCTCTTCTTCTTAACTGTAAAAATAAAGAGAAGTTTAAATAAAGTCTGAAGAGCCATCTAGTAGCCGATGTTACCATCAAAGTGTGTCGCACCAGCCTCTGTGGCATGTACAGTGAAAGGGAAGTAATCTGGGAATAGGTCTCACCCCCACTGAGAACTCTGGATTAGTTACAAAGAGAGGCCAAGTCTGGCCCCGGGAAGCTGTGAATATTTTAAGAGACTGGAAATATATCTGCTGATTAATGAACATTGGGACAGGGGCAAGTAAACAAGGATAACTGAATCAACATTTTCAGAAGCAGGCTAAGCTGAATCTCCACACTTCCGCTGTTTCTCTCCCCTGCCTTGATTTAACTGCTTTTCCCGAGAATTATCTGATCGTTAAAAAAATAGGCGGCTATCCGAGGCCACTGAAGGTAAACCCAGGAGGAGAACCGCATCTGAATTACAAAGCTCTTCCCAGGAGGAAGGTCATTAAGAAAACAGTAGGTGATTGTGCCTATGGAGGGCTGTACCGTGCTACAGCTAATTAACAAATATATATATATATAGTTTGCAAGCACAGTGGCTGGAGAGTCAGGTAGAAAGAAAGAAACAAAGGTACTACTACAAATGGTTCGCATAAACTCTCCGGAAGCTCCCTGCTCAGTGACAGTGATACAAGGCTGAGACAGAAAGCTGTAACGGATTGATGGACTCGAGCAGTCGATCAATTTCACTATTAATGAAACATATTAACTTTGTCATTTGATCAATAGGAGGAAGGCGACAAATCAGGCTTAACTAAAAACACATTCCCGGGAAGACAAATGGATGCCCACGCTGATCTGCCGGAGCCTTTGAAGCTGAAATGTATTTCATTATGTCCTGGAAGAGAGTCCACTTAAGACTGCCAAGTGCACCAAGATGACCCGAGCACATTTGGCCACATGATCTGCTGACGGGGAGCGTTACGTCAAGTGCTCACCTTTCAGACGCGCGTCACCTCCAAAAACCCCACAGCCCCAGTTCCCCGTAGCCACTGCCGCAAGGTTTTGGCTTCGTTCTTCGGGTCGAGCAAAGCCACAGTAGGCCTAAAAGAAGACGGCAACACGTTAGGAAAGGAAATGGAAAACACAGAGCAAAACACAATTCGATATGATAGGACAAGTGTTCTGTAGCAGACACAAGGAGATCAGTACACTGTGTCTGACATCGTTCACTATTCTCTACATAGTAAACACTTGGTATAGTCTATAGTGAGTAGTGAAGTGAGGACACCTATGAATCATCATTATTATGTAGTGTTGCATACCTGTCACTCAAAGGCAAATCTTTGCACAATGAGATTTTTGTATGTTGTGAACACTGTATTTGATCAGATGTGGGAATTTTTGAGGGCTCAAATAAAGTGGCAGTAAATATACAAGATGTTCAAGGTCCCAAACAGGGAGTGATATCAAATACCGCCATTGCCTCACGGTAAGCAAAACCCTTCCGTCATCAAAATTGTAAATGAAACAGGTTTTCTTTGGATGACATTACGTTAAGTCGTCAGCCACACAAGGCCGGGCCGTTCAAGCTTGAGCTTGACACATCAGTCAATGCATGAACACATAAAGGCTGGTTTGACTGGCTGAACATACAGTTGTAACGTTGTGTCGTATTGCCTCAATTCGACTGCCATTGGTGTGAAATTGGCGTGGGTTTAAGAGATTAATAACTGCACATTATGGACTAAACCCATGTGCAAAAACAAGAGCATTTGACATGACAACATGTCAGGTGTCATATGAGAAATCATTTCGAAAAGCAAATGTTAAATGGAAGATCTGAAGGAGCTCTGGACATTCATTTTCCCACTGGAAGTGAAGTGAACAGTGAAAATGAATCGTGAGCGCCCGCCCTCTCTCTGACCAGTCGTAAATTCTTCCTGTGAAAGGGCAGATGTGACAGACAGCTGAACAGTATTTGAAACAGGATTGATCTATATGTTGGTGCATTCTTCACACCCTTGTCAGAGCTGTCAAACTCCTACATGCTTCCTTCTTGACAACATCAACATCTTGATATTCTATTATGAACGGACATCTCTGACTGGGAAGATTGCACACATGGTAGGATTCCTATTTTAAAAAAATCTGTGACGATAATTAAATAATTGTGATTAAATCAACCCGAGGTCAGTTATGTTATTTAAAATTCATTCTGGGCCGAATGGACAGTGGAATGAATAAAATGGAGCATATACTCAGTCTGTATTACACGTATAATGTCGTTTTGTGACATATAGTACAAAGACACTTTACAGAAAGAAAATAGAAAGAAACACAAACACTCGCATGAAGTAAGCAGATAAAAGATCACCTTGTTTAGTTCTCGGTTTAGTTTTTCTGGACTAAACTGTTGAAGAAAGTTCTTGAACTGCAGCGCATCGATGGCCACAATCTCAGTGCATCTTCTCTGCCAGTCATCTCTGAAACAAGTCAAAGAAATGGTTTTATAACGTTCCACAAACAACAACAACTGGGCTTCAGTCGAATATTTTACAGCTACGGACAACACAAAAATAGACAGTAACACAGAAAAAAAGTCAAAAAAATAGACATTAAAAGAGATGCCTGAATTTGATGGCGCTAGATGAAAAGTTAGGCATCACCCAAATCTGTTACAATTCATCCTGAGGGAGACATGAATGTCTGTACAGAATTTGATGGCAATCCATCAAATAGTTGTTGATTTATTACAGTCTGGACAAAGATGATGGACCGACCAAATTGCCCTCCCATGAGCATCGCCAAAAAGTTAACGATGGGGTTAAACATTGCATGTTCTTATTATTTAGGCCTTTTAAGGTCTTTAAAGCAGTTAGGTGCAATAAATACCTTGGTGTTGTGTCCTGGTGGCTGCCAGCCCACTGGTAGGTATGAGAATAGCCTGTGTATTTACTGTACTGCTCGGTACCTGGTGATAACAAACAGGGACATTAGTCACACATCACTGCAAAGCATCAACAAATCAATCTTGATTTTTAAACATGGTCGGCAAGGGTGGGAGAAAAATGATGCATGTAAAAAATTGCCTTAAAAAGAATCATTGTTTTTAACAAAAGGTTTTTAGAGGGTGTAGTGCTTCTGCCTCATGTGATCGGATGAAACAAGAGAAGCTGTCTCCTGACAAGAGGAAGGTCAAGTTATTACCCCCCTCGAAACAACGTGAGAAGCAGTGACTGACCGCCAACCCACATGGGAGCACTCAGCACCGGTAAAGAAAAAAAAAAGAAAAAAAGAAAAGGGAGCGGAGGGTGGTAAGGCAACGGCACAGTCAAACAAATGAGGCCTCAAATTAACTACCCATCCATTAGCGCTCATTAGTACCTGGCTGCCGAGAGCACTCACTGAGATGCTTCATGCTGCAAAGTGCATAAACCAAGTGATTAGTAGTGGGGGCCTTGGTCAGCAGGTATTAGGAGGTGCACAAGGGGGGAGGGAATCTCTAGAGGAGACTCCACTTGACATTTCACTGATAATCAGCCTGCCTCTCGGTGTTTTTAAGTAATACGCACAATGATTGGTTGCCAGTATGCCTTTACATGAGGAAAAAGAAGAATGGGTAATATATAAACACCATACAGTCAATTAGCAAATGAATGGAGTCCCCTTTATTTAGAGAAGCTCTGGTGAGATTTGAATAAAGACCACTAAATTGAACAGCTGCATTTTATACTAATGCTTATCAAAACAATACAATGACCCCTAATTCTGTGCAGCTACAGCTAACATGTTAAATTACAAAGTTGGTTTATAAAAAACAAAAAAAGATAATATTAACTATGCATGCACATTAACCTTTATTGGTCCTCCAAGAATATCAAACTCTACGATCAACCATATTTGCATTTGAAAGGAACAACCTTCAGGAACAATATGAATTTGATTTTTTTTTGTGTCGTCATTCAAACATTATCTGCAGTGAGAAGCAGATCAATCTTGGCCAGGGAATGATGCATCTGGTTATCAGAAATGATTTATAAATAACAAATAGGTTACATAGAAATCTGCAGGTATAATTCCCGATGTTCCTGAAGGTTGTTCCTTTCATGTGTAAATACGTCGTAAACAAAGTGTCTCATATTTGTGGTGGACCAGAGACTAGAAAAGGTCAGAGGCGCATCTCATTGCCATGTTGAGGCTAACGTGGGCAACTGAGAAAGTTTGACTGCCGTACAACAGTCAAGGTCTGCATGTGAACGCATGAGAGTAACATTTAGCAAGATTTTGTGCGGTCAAGAAGAAAAAAAAAAAAATAACGTTTACATCTTCTGCACCACATTTTCAGGTCTGTACCGACTTCTCCTTGATACTGTTCGGACTTTTTACAGCCCCGATGGCCGCCACACATATCTATCAATCAAGGCAAATTCAATTAGGCTTGAGCACTTCTGCAAATTTCTGAGCAGAGGTAGGATCCATTAGCATCCGTACTGCATGCCAAAACGTATCACAGGGGGCAGTGATTTACCACGCGGCCACAATGCAGCTAAGGCTTAGACTTAGATGGGGGATGAGAGATACGGGCAGAGTTAAATAAAGATGATGGAACGGAAGAGTCCATTAGCGGAACAGGTCTTGGGCCGGTCTTCCAGCTATAATTAATTCTGGGACCCAGTAATAAAGTTAAGTGCCCGTAAGTGGAGCCGAGGGAGAGGAGGCGGGCAAGAAGTCTGAAGGTGACTCTGCCATAGCGAGAAGACCTGATGCAGCGGTGTGATTGCTGATCAGCAGGGCGGAGGCTCCGTTGCCTCACTTCCTGCTCTAATCCAACCCACTTGGTAATGTAATCTATTTAAGGGTGGGTGTTCGCGTTGTAGCAGTGGTTCACGGCATGGACTTGGCATTGCATATATTCAAATCAGGACTTGGTGACCAATTAGCAGCCGATATCTCTGCCAGCAGACAGTTTATCGGAGCTTTTTCTCTAAAAACATGTCTGAAAACAATGCTGGTGACAACGGTGACAGTAAGCCAAAAAGACAAGAGCAGTAACATACAACGAGCAGTAAAAAGATATCGATGATAGCTTCTGGATCGCTTATAACAACACAATGAGATTCTAATTCAAGTGCATCTATCGTAGGGTTGTGTATGGGCAAGAACCTGACAATACAATGCGTATCATGATACAGGGCGTACAATTCAATATACTGCGATACTGTAAACAAGGCAACATATTGCGAATGTTTAAATCTTATTTAAGGAAAACTGTTTTAGAATAAAGAACACACCACCATATGCATAAAATCTGAGCATTTGCCACAGTCGCTGTACCATCCAACATCACATAACTACTTTTTGTGCAATCAGAGCCACTGCCAAGAATCTTTGCAGGTATAAATATATAACATAATGTTAGTTTTCTAACCTGTTTATCAAATGCAATCAAGCAGCTGCAACAGTCTCAACAAACAACGTGAGACAGATACACAAAAAAAAAAAAATAAATAAAAAAAAGAAAAAAAAAAAAAGAAGAAGAAACTGTCAGCAGACATCGGCCACCTGCTGGGACTCCTTCAGTCTAGCTCTTGTTACTGGGTCTACTGGCCTGTCCCAACCTTGTTTGTTGCAAACACTCGATACTGAAGTACAGTCAGTGGGAATCACTCAACAGAAAGACACCAACAGAGCAATCAGGACAGCCCAATCTACAACACCCGACTGATGAGACGCTCCCCTATGCAGCCAATCAAAAGGGAACATGTGACAAGGACAGATACAGAAAACGGGGCAATTGCCACAAACATCCGTTAGCCTCTTGCTGAGCCAGAATGGGGGTAAATTGAAGGTGTGTACTTCATGCTGTGTGTCTGTCAAATTATAGGTCAAGCATTAAAAGAACCCGGGGGCATTATTGATCTGATCTGGAACAACGGGGTAAATTATGAATCATGGAGTAAGATTCATTCAGTGGAAATCATTTTCACAAAAGGTGCGGGAGGGTTTTGATCACCGACCTGTGATGATCAGACATTCGTTATGATCCAGGGCTTCAGTGAAGAGGCGAGAAACAATGAGCTCAGGATTGATTAGAAAACGGATTTCCTCTTGGACTAAACCAGAGCTGGTGACTCCTCCTCCCACAAACTGGTTGGCAAAATCCACCTGCAAATCAAGAGAGAAAGCTGGAAAAAAACCCACTTTGAATTTTGAAGTCGTGTGCACATATTCTTATTACAAAAAAAAATGTCTTTGGCTGTGAAAAATACTAGTATAGTTCCCCAAACTAGGACAACAGGAGGAAAACATCTACATGAAAGGGTCTCAGCCCTTTTTCTTTGATTTGTGACAGAATCCCTGACAAGCTGATTGGAAAGGTGGCCTGGGGTGCGCGCATTACTCAGACGTTTGTCCCCCCCATGCCAAAGTGAGCTCTCCCCGAGAGCTACACTCAGGTGTGCTGCTGCCAGACGCAAATATCAAAACAACAGTCATGTCCTACAGTCATAAGTAAACATCTCCCTCCAGTCACAACGTGGTGCTGACGGATGCCTGTGATATATCTTCCTGCGTTTGTTCTTTCAAAATTGTGGGCAGATGGGTGACACTGATTTACTTGTTTATTTTTGGTTTGTTTATGATTCAAAATACAACACGCATCTCATCGTTTCAAGTCAGACACAGACGTGACAAGTCATTGTTTTATTTAGAAAGCAGCCATGTGGAACATATAACCCAAATTCGGGACAGACAGTTGTTGCTCATTGGCCTAAAGACAGTCCCGACCAACCCCGTCACCAAACCCACGAAGAGGCTGCAAAGGGGAGAGCAGCATTCTGAGGGTAGATCTCCCCAAACTGGTCACTCAACTCTGGGACAGCGGGCCATCCTCCAAAGTCTGCTTTGACAGGCTGTCAGCACCCCCCCTCACCCACCCACCCCCCACCCAGCAGAGCATCCATCAATCCGGGCCGCAGTGTGCCCCGGAGCCGGTCATGTGTGCACATCAACTGTCAGCTTGTGGCAACTGGAGGCAAACAAAAGGTGAAAGGCAGAGCGGGCCATCCTGACAGTGTACAGGAAGCATGGCCGACAACAGAGAGCCGAGGAGGCTCAGAGGCCTCGACCCCAGTCCCAGCGCACACTCCCTCCGACATGTCACGGGCTCCCTCAAAGGCCTTTTCAGCAGTAGTAAGCATTCTGGGTGAAAGACTCCAGAATGTTGTGGCTCAGTGATTGACTACAACAGAGGCGAAAGAGGATGGGAACCAAGCACAAGGTGGAGTATCCCTCAAACTAAGAGCTCCGTCAAGCTAAAGAATATGATTCGGCAAATTAAAGTCCTTACAAATCACGCTGTCTGTATACTTCCCATCCTCGGCATCTTACCTGAAGCATTCCATAACCATCATCCTCAATGGTCCCTTCACAAGTAATGTGGATCTTTGTGAGTCGAGTCTGTGAGCTGAAACACAAAGAATGAACTTTTCCAGTTAACTACAGTTGAGACGATGGATCCTTGATTGCTTCCAAACAGTCTACTGGATTTAGCAAGCTGCAGGGATCCTTGACAGAAACAATTGACATACTGCAATAATTCTTTGATTACAGTGTCGATACACTACACCTTCTCCAATTCAGAGGTTTATCTAAGCTTTTCCGTGTGAATGTTACAAGTCCAGTAGGATCTGACGAAACGAGAAGGGAAGTGAGAAACATTCAATATCTTATTTTACATCAGTAACAACATATTGCTGCAACATTTGAAAGTTGTATCTGAACACCTACTTTGTTCGGTGACACTTTTGAAATAGCACATCAGGGTTTTCAGTTTCTCAATCTTCCTTAGAGAGGACCCATCAAACAGCCTGAAGGCAAGAAGAGATTATGAATTGAATTCAGTTCTTTCAATAAGACAACACATTATTCTCTTCTAAAAATGAAGCACACTTTTTAAGCAAGCTGGTTATACATGACATCGCAGCCGAGTCCGCTAACGGTTAAACAACTACAGCAAAAGAACAGGAAAAATGTCGTCGACACACAAGACCTCCACTTTGGCCATGTGAGTTCAGTCATGCTTTAACTTTTGATATAAATTGGTTCATCTCTCACTCAGCTTCCCTTTCAGTCACTAGCCCTATTATATAGGAGTTCCTATGCTGTTACGACAATGGAGTTGCCCCAGGCTTGCCATCACAGAGTCACACTCATGTGCCACTTCACAGCACTCTCACACACAAAAAAAATGAACAGAAAGGGAAACAGGGCTCCCTCTCCTCGGGGGTACATTAAGAAGCCCCGTGTCCCTTTTAAGCAACAGAGTCCTCAGGAGGCAAAAGGTCAATCCCCCTGAAAAATATCACATTAATGCGCACACACACACACACACACACACACACACACACACACACACAACTGCTGGTAGTGAGGTGCAGTGAGCAGTGTTTGAATGAACTTTCCACCATCTCAGTCAGTAGCAAACTCTATAAAGAGCGCCACAGCCTGCCTCACATGCCACAATAAAGAGAAAGAGATTTCATGTCAGTGAAATGAATTAATGACAAAAGGTTGATGCACTGAGAGCCCTTCAGGGGCCGAGAAACGCATTAATCTAAGTCTGCTCCTGCATTCATTTCTACTTTTTGTAGAAACAACCATGCGTCGTGTCGTCCTCGGGGCAAATGTCTTTGACATAAGCTAAGCCACTCGTGGAAGCAGGCTTTTAGGAACAAATTGCAATATGGTCTTTGGGGAAGAGAATTTATACACGATTATATAACATCAATATACCACCCACAGATGTGAAGAAGGCTATGTTTTAACTCAGGAAAAGGGTATAAGTGACTACAGTATGTATAACAGCTGGGTTTCTGTGTCATCGGAACAAGAAAACTGGGTAATCAAGCCTGGAAACTCAGTTTGAACTAAACGCACTTCATGGTGAAATAATACATAAGCTTGCTTCTGAAGAATACTTTGAATGACAGCGACAACATTCAATCCAGACAAAGAAATAACGGTCTTAATAGTCAGCTTTATCTCAATGCAAATAATGTAAGACGTCTGAATTGAGATTTAAAAAAAAAAAAAAAAAAAAAAAAACAGGTGAAGATAAACAGATTTCTGTTAATATGAAAGTTTGGAACAAAAGTAATAAAACAAAAATAAATGAATGATTTAAGAAAAAACTACATTTTCCAAGCTGGCTCGCACCAAATGTATGATTCAGGACGTTTTTTCAGCAGCAGGCTAAAAAGATGACACTGGCTTTCCTTTTTCAATCACAGTAAAACCTTTATGTGAATGAAATACTGATGCAATTGAACTCTGCTACAGCCTTCTGCAGAACAACCAATGGCTGTCTCCTTTGTCAAAAGCAGCCATCTGAGTCAAAGTTAATTGAATTCCCTCCTCCATTTAGGTAATTACACTGTGATGCCAACAGAGATGGGGGGACAAGACTGAGCAGTGATCTGCAGAACGTTGTTGCATTACACCACCCAGACCATCTCCACAGTGAAAGCTTGCAGGGATTAAAATGTGACCCTCCTGCCCTCCTCTTTATTATATTTGATGCTTTTGAAGGGACGCGTTTGGCTCTTAACTGCACATAGAGAAAGGTATTTAGTATTCTGGTAAAGCTGCCAGAGAAGGATCAACAAATAGTATTGTAGTGTATAGTTCTGATAAGTATTGCAGCCTAAAGGAAACGTCTGTTTCAGACATTTTTTAAATGGAAAATCTTTCAGATCAGTCTGTAAAGACGTCAGAGCGATCACTGTCTCTGATCAATGTACTCTTGTTATAAGACGCCGTTTGCTCATTTGTCATTAAATCTGCGTACTGTGATTTTACACCCAGCCAGAAGATAAAATGAGGAATCAGGAAACATATACAGCGGTGCCCCCTCATGGAAATTAAACTAATTGTCCCAGCAGCATCATTTACGAAACTGATTATGCAACTTTAAACATCGTGGATAAAAACTACCACACCCCTACGTTACCTGAAGAAGTTGATGTCTGGGTAGTTGCAGTATTCCTTCCTTCTGGAGTTGCGTCGGGGGAAGGTGCAGAAGAAGGCGTTGGCGAGCAGACATGCCACCTGCTCCTGAGACATGGTGATGGAGTGGTTCATGCCTCCCTTGAGGAGGGGTATCGGCTAGAGGAGGAACAAAAAAAAAAAAAAAAAAAAAAAAAGGTACAAATGAGGAAGGTCAAAACAATTTGTGTTTGCCGAACGAGACTTTGAAGCATGTTGCATAAATGTGTTAATTTGGCACCACTCTGTGCTTCTTGAAGAAGCCATCCTAATCACAATCAACATCCAGCTGTGCTCATAAGAGATCCATACTCCTAGTAAAGGCTGTGGGTGAACAAATAAACATAAGCTATTCTGTTATGACAATGGGGAGAGCTTGTTGCATTAACACTATAGCCACGCAGGAAATGGCTACAAGTTGCATGGCCAAAAATGAGCAATTTAGGAACACAGCAATAATGATGGATGGGATGGATTCAATTCATCGTGCACTCTGTTTAGCAGGTTTTAATGTTGCAGTCATGTAAGAGCACATCCAGTTCACTTAAATATTAACCTCTTCATCGCTCCACATCAAACACAGACCAGTTTTCAATGGAATCAACTGAATTTTAGACGAGCTACTCAATTTTCTATCCACTAAAGAAATCAACGCTTAACACAACACATTTTTCTACGCTACTCACGTGTAGAATAACACTTTTTTTATAATTTTGGAAGCCTGCATCACTACATTTGCCACACTAAACACTAAACACTGCGGTAGCGCAGACTGTTATTCTCTGTCTGGGCCACTTTGAGTATTAAATTAATCAAACTAGAAATATATTTAACACACAGATGTATAGATAAAATTTGATTACTGGCTGTTTGGCCAAATTGATACACATAAAAAAAGCCTTTTAATGAGACTTTTTTTCAGGCTGCAAACACATATTGCTCTTCATCATCCACATGCCAAAGAACCAGATGACCAAGAGGACTTTAAAACACAGGACACATCACCATCAATCGCTACGTGCCTCGACCTTGCCATTTTTACTACCATTTCACAAGATATTTGTCATGTTGTGACCTAACCCGCTGCGGGGGGATCTACTGTGTCACAGACCAGTGAGTCAGTGTCTGTTGGTTAGTGATGACTGTTACCTTGGTACAGAGCTCAGATGCTCTCAGTGCTAATTGCACCATGTCTGGCAGCAGGGAGCCAAACAGATGTTCAGCAGCATCAGTATCCAGGACCTTGGAGAGAGCAAGAGATCTGTTTATGTTTGTTGTTTTGCCACAAAACTCAGCTGTGACATTATTAGCTGTTTGGGTTGATTAGGACAGATAGAGGACGGATAGAATTAACAGCTCTGATCCGTATCAAAATGTTCAGTTTTACGAAGAAACAAATCAATGAAATACAAGCAACGCAAAACATCAACTGGCAATTTAAAATTCCACTATCCAACCTTCAATACTGTTCATGCAAATGTAAATAATAAGAATAACTGACTATTACCTCATATTGAACATTTAAAAGGGATCGTGAAAGACATGGCTTCATATCATTAAAATACATCTGGCTATAGCTGGACAGCTTGTCTCTAATAATATCACCAGAAACACATTTTAAAGTACCGTACCAATCTCCACAACACTCCTTAAGTGCACTAATGTATTTGAGACAGTACACACTACTCGCATTTACTCCCATATTGGCTACGAAATGTCAGAATGATCAATCACAGAGCAATTTCATCAGGGTTGCACGGCCATGCCAGCTGATGAAATAGTCTTCCTGGAAGAGATGCAAATGACCCGAGCGTTTGAAATGAAAAGGACAGTGTGTTCCCGGGACAGGAAGCCTCGACTTGTGATTTAGCTAAGGACATTTATATTACGGAAAAAGAAGCCTGACTAAACAGTGTCATAAGTAATGACCTGGTTGACACCATAAACCGCTCCTATGGGGTGTAATAAATGAAGGCAGACAGGGCGAGACGGAGGATATAGCTGAGGTAGTATGAGCCCGGCTCTTTAAATCAGCAGAAGACAGTGCATCAAATCAACTGAACTAACACTCTGTATGACTCGATACAGGTCTGTACATCACGCCAAACTGACAAAGTAATCAAGCAAGATGCAGGCGTGTGAGCAGTGAGAAACCAGAGCTCCCATACAGATTTAACACAACTCCTGATGCTCCTGTTCCTATTCCCCGCCGGTCGGAGCAATAAAGCAATCTGCTTGACTGCGTCTGCGGACGTGTGACCATGTAAAAATAAAACACTCGCATGCTCATAACCGTAAACACAACACTGGTTTGCTAGAGAAAGAGAAATTGACAAAAAAACAAACAAAGCTGTCCGTCAACAGCTTTTCAGTTATTCATAAGATGCGCGTGCAGAGATGAATATTCAATGAGGGTGCCTGGCCCGTCACTCCGTGCCATTCATGTCTACTTTTCTCTGACACTCAAAATAAGTCTGCTCCAGTGTCTCCAATCCAGCATCTCCGGGGCAAAAGTAACAAAGCAAAAAATGGGGAACATTAGGTTGAACTGTTTGCTATCCCCATGTGTGTTGCACTGGAAATAAATCCTCGGTTATTGGTTTTAAAATGAAAATGTGTTAAACACCAACAGTATATTCTGTGGGTTGCTATACGAGCTGCTTTCTGTCGATGCATGAAAGATATGAATGTGTAGCCTAATTGCTACTCTCGTTTCAGCATATTCAACTATTAAAAACACAGATTTATAACTCAGTCAAACGGAGAATAAATTATGTAAGAGAGGGAAGCAATAAACAGTCTTCGTGGAGAGGAACTGTGTACGTCAACTTTGCAATAATACATAACATAAATAAAGCAACTGTTTTTGTGTGAGCTACAATGATACAGTATGTGGCTTTCAACAGTTTGTTTTTTATTAATGGTGCTGGAAAATGTAGCGTCTGACAAAATCAAGTGTTGCCTTCCCAATAGACTTGGCAGGATTCAAATTAAACCACGACTAAACTTGGTCTTTGTATAAGGCCTCTCGACCTCTTCTTCCCCATTCGGACATGATTTATGACATACGTATGGCACACGATTGATTCAACATTATAAAGCAGAGAGTAAAGCATTCTCTGGGACGTAATGTCAGCCATTTTCATTTCTGACAAGTTACTAAACGTGACCTTTTGGCAAAAGATTAAATTATTTCTCCAGACTCCCATTTTGCCTCTGAAGGGGCTGCAACATTCTCCTGTGAGAACAGCATTACTGTACAAAATAATAGAAACACATTTGACATACTGGCATCCATGAAAAAAAGAGTTACATGCACTTCTTTCCTGAGATGTGAGATGATATAAAAAAACATGTAGCTGATGTATTCTAGAGGATGCCATGCATCGGGTGGATGAGTGCTCCGACTATATGGAAAATAAAGCTTATTGTTTGTCTCGTCCTACAGGCTCAGGGTTTCTTATAAAAACACTCATGTCACAACACGACCCATCTCTCCAAATGGAAGATTCCCATCCCCTTCATGAGCCAGACAGTAGTACGGCCCTCTGATTCTCTACATGACGCAGAGCGCATCAAGACAAAAGATGATGGATGGCCTCCAAAACGAGGCTGGAGAAGACACTGACAACTCAGAGCAACAACCAACAAACCAACAGGGCTCATTACACTGCATGTACTGTTTTGAAGAAGTAGAGAAACAAACAAGAAAAAAGGCTGCCTAGTACGTCTATCTATCCATAAATACAGATTCCCAATGCCAATTAAATACTGGTCACATCAAACTAAATCTAATCTGGTGAAAATGCGACATCCGTTTCACTGCGTCTTCCACAAAGTGTAGATAAATATTATCCTAACTATCTGATGAGACATCTGGACTTTCTGTGACCCGAACTCTGTGAGAAGCACCGACACCGGTTTACAACGCCTTCTGTGGGGCAATTAAGTATCACGATTAGACAGATGATGTTTAATCAATCTACAGCTAACCCTCCAACATCATGCGTCTTCCATCTGTGTCTGCAAGTCTGCAATCACTCTTCCCCAAAAAAAAAAAAAAAAAAAAAAACTAAAAAAAAAAAAACTCATTTTGAGTACAAAGCAACTTCATTCACTACTTCTGGGTTCAGTGATATTCATAGAATGATCAGTTATTATAACACTTATATTGTTTACCTTAGTGCAGTACAAATGTAATGCAGTGAAGTCCCATTTCTTGGCCTGTGAAGCACTGTATTTCAATATTGCATTCTGGAACAAACAAATTAAATTATCACACAAAATTGAAAAGCTAAATTTATATGAATTGTTAATTTCAGTCATAATTACTGTGTGTGTGTGTAAACTCTCAAAAAAGCAAAATTCTGAGAGACTCCGTTTCTGGGCCTATGGCGCCATCTTATGGTCTGGTCTAGTAACTACAACTACAATACATTGCCCCTCATTTTATGAAGTGACATGCATGAGGCCTTGCCAATAAAAGGACACAAATGTGAAACTTGCCTTCAACTCTTGTTGACTTGAAAGTGTGTCGTTTAAAGTCTCCTTGATCAACTCCCAGCGACTCTTTTTCTGAAGTTCTTGTGTTACCTGTGGAAGCACACATGTACGAATGAATGTTGGGTCTAGGCAGGGTGATTTCAGTTCAGCTTTTCATACGCAATGAATGATAGCGCTGTGTTGATGTGCCCGTTTCTGGCAGTGATTTCATGATTCAATAAATACAGGACCGTCTTTTGCCCCTAAATTGTTATATGAGACATGAAAAGTGAATGTGGACGGATAAGCATCGTGACTTGTAGCCGCTCTTGAATGTCTTACCTAAAGTGATATTTCAATACTTGTAAAATTAAGTATCACAATGCTAATCCTATAATCCTCATTGATAGCAATAATAGACTGAATATGCATTGCAGCAAATGTTCTTATAATGATGTTTCATAAACGCTTGGACCATTACCTCATCCTGTACAGGAAATAGGTTCCGACTGGAACAGGGCATCTTGACATAGTCATCGTCCCAAGTATCCTTAAACTTAGCAGGATATGGAACAGAGACTTTACCGTTCTCAAGAAGGTCCGTCTGTCAATGGGATTGAATGAAAATAAATATTAGTATACACACAACATCTGTGTGAAAACCAAATAGTCCTACTGACAATAAAATATAGATATGTAAGAAACTTAAAGAATAAGCATCATTTTAAAGATCTAATTATTACTTAAATAAGCTGACTCACAAACCTGCAAAGAAGACATTGGATTGACCAATTAAATTGCTGTCTGTTTCCATAACATAACCACTTGAAGTGCTTTGAATACTAGTATAAATAAAAAAAAAAGAAAGAACGTCTCAAACCCGTATCATCACAGTGTGCTGCCCACGAACGTCCCTCAGCGGAGGAAGCAGTCCGCCACATTCAGGCATTCTCTTTAGTTCGTTGATTGGCGTCCCGAGCCATTTGGCCTCAGCAGAGGTAGTTTCCTTGTCTGCATCTTGTTTCTCTGGAGACTTGTCTGGCCTGCGCCTTCTCACAGGTAAACCTGGTGAGGACGTCCCTGAAAAGAAGTCTGTTATTTTGGTTTTGTGTTTGACAGAGTCCTCTGAGCTCGCTGAGCATGTCTCCACCTCTTTTTTCTCTAATCCACCATGATTGCGGGACAGTGTCTGCATTAGCCCTCCTCCTGCAGAATCCTTGGAAGGCGGTGATACAGGTTTGTCTTCATCCAGCTCCTGTGGTGTCAAAGGTTGGGTTTTTTCATCTTCGTCAGACAGGGTGGGATGTTCAGCATGTTGGCAGTCCAGAACCTGAGCTGAAGTGCTTTCAAAGCCACAGTCGCCGGCCATCTCGACATCCTCTTGGGTTTGGCACACTTCAGGTGACGTTGTTTTTTTTTTTGGCTTAACCAACCATTGGTAAACAGTATTTCTAAACTGCTGTGGTGTGGGGCCGATTCTTTGACGATCACCTTTTATCTTTACGCCTCGCAAACTATCTGCTCCAGTCTTTGGTCGTTTGTCCATCTTCGTCTTTGTGTCGTTTTGCCTCCTTTCTTGATTTACTACTGTGTCATGATTATCTCTGCTCTGAATAAATGAAGATGGGGCTTAAAAATAAAAAAAATATATTGTTTTACAAAGAGGGATATACTAACGCAAATGACATATTTAATATATACTCTGCCAGACAACTATTATCTAAACAAATTACCTTGGAGAGAAGATGAAGGGGACGTTGGGGCACTGATTTCAACCCTGAGTCTCTTTGCTGAAGGTTCAAAGTCAGCCAGCGCAGTCATCCTACAAAATGAGAAAGTAACACACAAGACATACCCATATTATTTTGAGAGAGATGTGCGTGTCTTGGCAGTTTAAACATGAAAATATACTACACGTATACTCACAATACAACTTGAGCTGACACCACGATTGAGGTGTTATTTGGTTTTGTCCAGACTTGTTTCTTAGGCAGTCCTATCTTCAATATGTGAGCAAATCTTAAGATATGGTATGCAGCCATACATGACACAAACTGTTGTTTCTTGGATACTTAATGACGCAAGGAAATGGTGTTTTGTATTTCAATATTATTCAGACTTGTTCCTTCGGTCGTAGTAAGTTGCTGTCCAACGATAGTTTGACAGACTATCTAGAAAACGACTGTCAACAAACCATAGCTCATGCTAGCTAACGCGTATCTGCCAACTAGCGTTGGACTACAACGGATTGTTAAAACAACCCCAAAAATCGTTTAGGATAGAGTCTGACACTTGAAAGCTTCAAAGTATACAACAATAACATTTGTTCGTTGATGATAAAAAATCACAATCGTATTTATAGCGGTTGAACATTGCTACAAACACAGTGCCGTTGTTCAACATCAAAACACTTCCGCGTGCGAGTGACGCCCAAGTCACTGAAATATCGCGATAATTCCACTGCAGTTCTCGTTGACGTTTAGAACGGCAAATTATCACTTATGTTGTAGAAAGGTTAACGCAAGTTATTCAGAAAGTCTGATTCAGGCACCAAAGCTCGATTTTATAGTAGACTTACTGTGTCTTTATGACGCCGATGAACGGAAGAATGTCAGTAGAGAGACTCACCCACTTGAGACAGTTAACTCTGGTAAAGCAGACTGTTTAACTGTCCGTTAACACGTAAAGCCACAGCAAAGCCTAGTAACGTGTAACGTTAACTGTTTCACAAACATTAACAGTATTGTCACTCCACCTTTTGGCGTTTGTTTGTTTCCACAAGCCGAAAAGCTCACCTGTGGTTATAGCCACGCCCATCATGACGCACCTGACCAGCAGCAAGGAAGCAAAAGCACGAAACTTGCATTTATTAATAGTTGACTTACCGTGGGCCTAATGGGAAAATAACCTTGATACTTTAACGAGGATCATGGTCAGAAAATACATCTTATTTGCTATTGTTTTGCTGTCTTACGTTTCCTGGATTGACAACACAGGTGAGGCATAATATGTTGTTTTCGATGGTGCCGAAAAAGAGCGTGTTTTTCGTGTTTTTCGTCTTTTGTACACACAAGTGTTTGGAGGTTTTGACAGTTGTTGTTTTGCCATTAAGCTTGCTTGCTGTCTACAAAATACATTGATTTTGTATGCTCGATAGGGATTCTAAGAATACACCTTTGGTCATTTTCCTTTTTTGTATGTTTGAATTATTTTTTGGTACTATGTGTGCCACAGAATGCCTCCTCAATATTTACAGTTTCTCTGTATTCACCTTCCTTCCAGACAGTTTCAATGGGCTAAAATTAAAACTCTCCAAGTACTCCATTGTAAATCCTCAGGTGGTTCACAGATGGAAAAGGAGCATCAACAGACCGCCACAGTCGAAAGACGTAGGAAACAACCCTGATGAATCCTTTTTAACTGATGTTTTAATGTGACAACTTCAAGAATGCTTTCTTGTTTTTACCCATTTCAGAAACATGGAGAGGAGACAATATCATATTCAGTCAACATAAACAACAGGAAGCACCTCCTTCATCTAAAACGGAACAGGTTTGAACAAAGTTGGAACTTCGTTTGATGTTACTGACATTATTGTAAGTTCATGCCAATGCTTCAGATAACATATCATGTAATACCATGTATTTTTCATCTTCTTGTCAGAGACTTTTTGCACCCAAACTTTGTTCAGTACTCAAGTGACGCCACTGGCAACACTGAGGCATCATATCCAAAACAGCATGTAAGTTGACACTTATTTGTTTGGTTGTATTCTGGTTTGAACTTCAACCCTTGAACCTTTTTTACTTTTCTCATCCCAGGTGCATTGCTATTACCATGGAGAGGTGGAGGGATATGAGGATTCATTGGTAGCACTCAGCACATGCTCTGGCCTCAGGTTTGAACATCTCTCTCGCTGTTTCTAGCTCCTCTGATTCAATATTGACATTTGTTGTCTTTCAGTGGAACGGTGTCCTGATTTTATTGATCTTATTATGGTGCCACAGTATTTTGTTGTCCACATTAATGATCCAGAGCAGCAAAAGGTGCTTTTATTGAAGTTTTGAACTTCAATACATTTTTCATCACCTCAGACATTGTTTCCCACTTATTATGAGTTAGAATTTTGGGTTTATTGTTTTTTTTTTTTCAAATTGTGCCAGGTAATGCCACATTGTGGAATTGCAATGCCACACCCAGGCATTGGTACTGAGTGAAAGCATTTCTCTAATGGTGTATCTGCTATGCACTACTTCTCTTTAGGGGTGTAATCCTCCTTGGAAATGAGACATATGGACTTGAGCCTGTGCCACAGTCCCCCACCAACGAGCACCTTCTGTACCTACTGAAGGACGATGACTCCGGGCCCGTCACTTGTGGGGTCGTCAGTGAGGCTTCATCAACGCAAAGCCATGAACCCTTTGAGCCAGGCAAATCACTGACTTCAATGCTGCGGGTTAGGATGCACCCCACCTTCATTCTGAAGTGAACATACTTCTATTGTGTGAACTGATTTTGAAATGGAAGAGTGACACGACTGCATTTCCTTCTTTACTGTGTGTTGTTTAAACAGAAGAAGCGCAATTTACCAGAAACCAGTTATGTGGAGTTGGTGCTGGTTGCCGATCATCAAAGGGTGAGTGTGCATATCTGTTGATGACCTCACTGGTATGTAAGTGAGAATGAATTGGCTGCAACAGGTTTGTTTTTTTTACACTAGATGCAAGTAAATATCATTCAGTGAAAATTAGCACTTTTACCATACTTATTGAGTCATCAGCCTTAATTAGTAATGTGCTATTCCCCTTAAATGTTGCAGTGCTTTTTTCAATGCTGTGGAATATAGTGCCAAAATATTGACCTTGATCTGTTTATTATGTTTTATAATTGTATTTACAGTATACTTTTAAGAAAAACAATGAGACGGCTGTACGAGAGGAAATAGTGCAGATGGCTAATCTACTGGATGGGGTGAGATTTCAAGTTGTTTGTAAAAGAAAGTATGCTCCATTCTAATTAATTTAAATCTTGTTTTTGTGTTATGCTATGCCTTATAATCTTTTATTTTCTGTTTTATTCTAGTTTTACAAGCAGCTGAATATCCGTGTGGTGCTGGTGGGCCTGCAAATTTTTAAGGACAGTAACCCCTTTGATGTGGAAGGCTCTCCAGGATCTGTGTTGGGCAGGTTTGTCCGGTGGAGGAAGACTGTTCTGTTACCAAAGATCAGGCATGACATGGCTCAACTCCTTATGTAAGTAATGTGTGTTCTTTTGTCATAGATGGCCACATGTCTGAATCCTTCAGACAGTAGAGTCAAGTTTGTAACTTATCTCTTGGTCCACTTTTTTCTCAGTGGTCCGCCTACATCATACGGTAATGTATTGGGTATGGCCTTCGTGGGCACGGTCTGCCACGCAGGGACCGCTGGAGGAATCAACTTGGTTAGTTCAACTCCCTTTTAACTTCTAACACCAGCTGTCACATTGCTGCTTTGGCAGCATGAGCTTTTGTACAGAAACTGATACTGTCTGCATTATTTATGGTGCGTTTTAAAAATGCATTCCATTCTCGCATGCTGTAAATAACAAGTCAAATTGGTTAGACTTCAATTCCTTTTGATTCCTTTGTCTTGTGATGCCCTACAGTGTTTTACTTTTTTATATCCTTTGACCTATAAATTCTAATCAAATAATATAATTCAACTTTTGTTGCCCTTCTTCTCCCTTAAAATAAAACACATTTTCTATTGAAAGATCCCTTGTTGCTGGATCTCTTCCTCCAATATCCTGATTCAACAGTAGATAAGTAAAATGAATCGGGCGAAAGGCTTTCTTTCACTGTGACTTAAAAATACTCTTGTTCAAGGGAAGATTAATACATATGTAGCCAAAGCACTTTAGTTTTTTTTGATAATACCGATGAATAACTTACATTCAGGATCATATATTTAGGTATATTGACAATGGAGATTGTAAGTACTGAATGTACTGTGTGTTTTCCCAGTTCCGCGAGGACAACCTGCTTTCTGTCTCCACTGTGGTGGCCCATGAGATGGGTCATAACCTGGGCATGAATCATGACCGTAATGGATGCAGCTGCAATGCGAATATATGCTTCATGTCAAGCGTTGGGTAACACATCTTCCACAAAATATTTCTGAAACTCTTGACATAAAATTAAACAAGCAGTAGTTAAAGTGCTGCGGTACAATCCATACAGCATATAGCATATTCTGTGCCTTTTACAACAGCTAGAGTCTAAAACAGACTCCTGAAATTATCACATTTTTCTTTGTCATGTGACAGCTAGCAGACGGCTGTTTTTTTTTTTTGTTTTTTTTTGAATATCCATGATGGTCCAAGTACTTACTGATCAGGATTCAAGCACAATATGCTTCTCTGTAATGTAGCCTTTTTTACACTAAATCCATTTACCTTTGAATGATAAGAAGCAAATGTGTGATCTTTTTAATGTTTTAATTTTCTCTATCAAGTAAGATAGAGATCATGTGCATAGTTTAACAATATACATAGGTTATGATGATATTGTTTGGCACGAAGCTCTTGATGTCCCTGAAATATTTTTGTGACTTTAGTGCCTCCGTACTGAAGTGATATAATTCTGTATTTCTTCTTGTTCCCAACATTTTTCATGTCATATCAAAATTAATGTTTCTAGGACCACAAAAAAATGTCCTCTGCTCAAAGGTCAAAGATTGTTTAATGCGAAGCCTGTCCAATTGGACATTTCCATTAATAGCTTATCCTGCTACCTGTAGGGGTTCCGCTTTCAGTAGCTGCAGTGAAGAAGACTTTGAGAATCTGATCTTACGCGGAGGAGGCACATGTCTGAAAAACCAGCCATCCCCCTCAGATGTGGTTGGTGTAGCTGAATGTGGCAATGGCCGACTGGACAAAGGAGAGCAGTGTGACTGTGGCAAACCAGCGGTAGAGTACTGCCTCTCAGATAAACTCACACACACACACGCAGGAAGTTAAAGATTATTGTATTGGATAAGGATTTTTTTGAATACTTCATTCTACTGTAATGTAACTGGCATTTAAATCTGACAACCAATAAATACAATGTATACCAGGAACTTATACAGGTAGAAACTATATAGAGTAAAAATATTCAGTCCATGAAGCTGAGAAGTTTGTGATATGTTGTAAACCAATATCTTGAAAATGAAAACAGACATTTGCAAATTAATTCTGTTAAGAGTAATAATTATTGTTTCTTTATAAATGTAGAAGAATTCTTTGGTGTAACATTTTATTTTCAGCTTTACAGATTAGACACACGTCATGTTACAACCTCATTGGACTTAGAATAAAAAAATATTCTCGCAGAGTTAAATTCTTGTAATTTTTTATTGTTGTGGTATGAATAGATTTTCTCTGTTTCCATTTCCTACAGGAATGCAAAAGTAAATGCTGTGATGCTGCCACCTGCAAATTCAAATCTGGGGCCGTCTGTGCTCAGGGAGGCTGCTGCGCTAACTGTCAGGTCAGCATTATGCTGGCCTTAATGCCAGAGTTATATAGCTTATGGAGGCAATGAATTGTACTTGGGGGGGGGGGGGGGGTATTTTTTTTATTTTTTTTATTGTTGTGTGTGATTGTTTTTTGTTTTAGATCAGAGTCTCTGGAACACCATGCAGAGGGTCTGTCAACACTTGTGATCTTTCTGAATACTGTGATGGCAAGACTGAGTTCTGTCCCGGTGACTACTATGTCATGGACGGCCTGCCCTGTCAAGACCGTCAAACTGCTGCGTACTGCTATGAGGGCCAATGCCAGACGTATGATTTCCAGTGCAAACATCTCTTTGCACCAGGTACATTTCATAATGCATGATACGAAGATTTTGCAGCTAATTAAGCTCCAGAAACTGTGAGGTTTGTGTACTTTTGGTCATAATTTCTGGCTGCAAGATATACCCTTTGTGCCAGTCCAACACATGCCTTTTGATTTCTATCTGTTTGTGTAAAACGCTAACTGTGGATAACCCTGTCAAAAATACATAAGTCCAACAGGAGGCCGTGGTCACCTGGAAAATATTAAATCACTTCTGTTGCCATCAATATTATATGTTGGATATTTTTTCTCTTTTTTGGCAGATCCAGCAACAAAGGCAGCAGATATTTGTTTTGATGCCATAAATGTGGGGGGAACCATATTTGGTAACTGTGGAATTGGAAACAACGGACAACTTATCAAATGTAGTTCAGCGTAAGTACTCTGGTTTTTAATAATTGAATGATTTGAACTAAACTGTTTATATATATATATAAAAAAATAACATTTAACTCAATACCAACTGTGTTCCCTTGAACCTGCACTGCAGAGATTCCATGTGTGGGAAGTTGCAGTGTGTCAACGTGGACTTGAACACCGTGCCCACTGGTGCCCATATCAGTGCCACAGACATTGACGGGGAAAGGTGTATTAATGCAGACTTCAACCTCGGCCCAGATGTGCTAGATCCTGGCTATGTGAACTCTGGCAGCCCTTGTGAGGAAGGAAAGGTAAGCAGACCAACTATTTAGAAGTGTACACGCCCAAGAGAAGGAATGGAAGGAGGAACTACTTTGATTATGTGTTCCAGGACAGTACTGTCATTTAAAGTTTAAATAATGACACCTAATGACATCATTAAGTTAAGTCTTCTCTCTCAGGCCTGCCTGGATTTTAAGTGTGTGAACGCCTCTGCTCTGCTGCCCAACTTGGACTGTGATGCCCAGACCACATGCAACGGCAGAGGGGTGAGTCTCCTTTTTATTTACTTTTTTTTTTACTCAGTTACCAACCAATAAATACTTGTGTGACTTTGCTGTTGTAATGTTTTCATCAGGTATGTAATGACCAAGGGAACTGCCACTGTGAAAATGGGTGGGCCCCACCTAATTGTGACAAGTCAGGGCGTGGTGGCAGCATAAACAGTGGTCCTGCTCAGATAGGTGGGTTCAAATTGATGTTGTCAATTTACTTTTCAAGGTAAAGTATGCAGAAAGTCAAAGGCACTCTACTACGTATATACAGTTCACCTAATGTCACACTTATAAGCTCTAATCGGGGCAACATGAAAGTCAGCAATGACGTTGTCTAAGTGCATCCTTTATTAGGCTTCATATGACTCATGCATTAATCACTCTGTCTTCTGTTGTCATGACTGAAGTTGGTGTGGTTCCTCATTACACCTGTTGTAGCACCCAGATTTGAACAGGTTTTGATCTTAGAGCCTTTTAATTATACTGGAAATACATCATGCCAATTTGTCTATTTCCTCAATTGTATATGCTGGATCAGAAATCCGAAACAATGTGTTCAGTCACTGTTTATCGTCTTCTCAGGCTGTGATGCCTTTCGTGATGAACTAGAAGGAACCAGATATTTTAGCTGTTATACTAGCATTAGTTATATATTGTAAATCTAAGTTGTCTTTTCTGTATTGTGCCTCCGTTCCTAATGTATTCGTGGATGTTATGTTTGTCATGATGGATTTTGTATTGTCATGTTTGCAGGGAAAAACTACATAGCAAAAATCACCGAACTACTGATGTAATTTTTGGTAATCTGCTCGGAAAACACGTTGACTGTTTGGTGTACCTAATGCAATTAAATATACTGTAATGTTTCTTATTCACACGTGACCTTTTCTACCACAGACCACTCCCTCAGGGACGGACTGTTGATCTTCTTCCTGTTGGTGGTTCCTCTTCTGGTCCTTCTCATCCTGGTGCTGCTCTACTTCTTCAGGAGAGACTCCCTGGACCTGTGCCTAAAAGGACGAAGCCTCAAGTAAACATCACCTCACATTAAAAATATACCAATAGATACTTTATGAACTGTAGTGTTTTATATTTGGATGAAAAGATTATTGCTTCTCATAAGTTTTCTGCTTTCACAGGTCGCGTAATGTTACAAATGGAAACGCAAATGGGAACTCAAGTGCCACAACCCAGCCTCCATCACGAGCTCCTTCTGATCAGGTAAAAATGTGTCTTTTTCTTAGTGATCATCACTGCAGTGTAATGTTGATTTTGCAGTAGGAAAATCTGTTTTTCCATCACCTGAAAATTGTCACACAGAAGGAAAGAGGCAAATCAATCAGAAAAGGTACATGTTTTGTTTTCAGCATTAATTTAACATGTTTATTTCTTTTAATTCCAGGTTGGATATCCACCAGCTACTGCAGTTCCAATTCCTGGGTATGAACTTTTTTTATTTTACTCAATCCATATTGCCCTCCCACACAGATGGAAATGTAAGCTTTCAATGCACAAGCAAACCTATACAACCAAATTTGCACACATCCTGTCAGTTTCAGGCCTGGAGAACTGGATTATTGGAATGCAGAGGAAAGCACTGCCCCTGCACAACCACCAGCTCACAGGCAGGGCCCTGGAGTACCCGCACCAATCCCACCCAGGCAGCCAGCTAGTTGATTCTCTTTTAATACAAACTATATTCAAGTTTATTGTGAATATATATGGAGTTTACTACAGCCCAAGTGAGATGAGTTTAAAACACTGTGATAACAAAATAGTTATTTTACCTTGTTGCCAGCACTTTTTTAAAGGTTTACTGTAGTAATGTGGTGGTGGATGAGGTTTATAGGCAAGTGAATATTTATTGGAATATATGTGGTTTTATTAGATTGCCGTTTATCACTTATTGGGAATTTATGCACATAAGGTATCTCTTTAAATATCCCCAAACATTTTGTATTTTATGTTACTATGCATTTAAATAATTTAAATATTTTGATTTCATGACTGTAAATGGAATAAATAAATATATGAATGAATTTCAACTTGTTTTATTGTGAGTGTGTGTTTCTTGGAACTGTAGTAAAGCTGTACTGTCGGTGCAGTTTGTTGAACTCCTGTAATGTAATAACACATGAGAGGCACAAACTGGGCTTATGTAGGTATCAGAAATGTTAAGCAAGAAAATGTTTTTGGCAGTTGATTTGTTGTTTAGTTGCTCAACGAATTATGGAAAAGGAATTTATATGATTTTTGGGGAGTTAAAAATATATAGTTTTCAAGAACAAAAGCTCAAAGACCGTATCTATTATTTTGTGTAAAATAAGTATCTAGTGACCCTTGAATTCTTTCCTTGGAAGTATTGAGAGGTTCCGAACCCACGGTTGGGAACCATGGTCTTAAACAAAGCAGTCTTTGTGTTACTACATTTAAAAATATATTGTGTCGGACTACCTATCTCAAGCTTTTGCCCCTTTTTATTTTGAAAGGCTTGTGGCGGGACGTCACGTGTCATTCCTACATTCTGACGCAGCATGATACGGAAGTTAGCTGTCAACTGCAACCACCAATAACCACCCATTGCTACAATGTGTCAATAAAAATATGAGTTTTGAAGCGGCTCTCTGGTAGCACATGGCAGCAGAGGAAGCCGGAGGTGTCGGCCGGGTTCCGGCCTGTCTGTGTGTCCTCTGCGGTCTACCTGCTGCTGGGAAGTCCACGCTGGCCCGCGAGGTCCTCAGCACCGCTGCACAGCGCGGATGGAGAGCTAGTGTGGTGCCGTATGATGATCTGATCCTGGAGCATGCTTTTCAGACCAGAGTGGTGGAGACGGACTGTGTCAAACGGGAAGAAACGGTAAAGAAAATTTAGCTAAATCGGTCCCAACCTAGAAGCAATCGCAGACCAAACTAGTAGAATAGCACAATTTATATTATTTTAAGTGGACTTTTCCTATCAGTAGCCTAATCTTTAATTATAAGCTATAATATGGTGTTAATAACATTGCAGCTGTACTATGGAGGGTAAAAAAAGTGTATTGTGAGAATAATATATTTGCAGACATTGCAGCAAAGTTTAAAGTTGTGAGAGAGAGAAGAGGAATAAGTTCATTAAGTTATTTTTTAAGGATAATTCACTGTTTTCAGCTTCTCACATGTGACTATTTGCCGGTTTGCTTGGTAGTTATGATATTCAACAGAATATTTTAGGATTTTGGACTGTTGGTCAGACAAAACAAGCCATAATAAGTACAAATGTATTCACTATATGGAACCAGTCATTGTCCTGATTTGGGTTTCCGTGATGCGTCCACAATATGTTTTTGCAATAACACTGTCAATTCAATTTCAGTTTTCCAGAATACATAAAAAAAGGTAGATCGGTTAAATGTGTTTCTATTTCTAGCACACTGAATGGAAGTTGCATAGACAAGCAGTTTTGCGCTGCGTTGAGCAGTTCTTGGAGAAACCTCAAGTTTTGGCCGAGCTGCCGGACAGCCGTCAGATCAACAGGGCTGCATGGGAACGATGTATTCAAGCTCTACTGCAGCCTGGAGCTTTGGACCGCTCACAGGCGGACCAGCCACCACTTCTGTTCCTACTGGATGACAACTTCTACTATCCAAGCATGAGATATGAAGTGTACCAACTTGCAAGAAAGTGTAAGCACCGTCCTTTTCAGCATAAGCCACTGACTTGAATGTTCATAACTTACCATAATGGTAGTGTTGCGTGTTTTAGCCCATTAAGTAGAAATGTATTTTATATCTCTGCTCTACTGTGATGAATTTTGGATCCCAAGCAAGTTTGTTTTAGTCGACTGAAAACAACTGATACTGTCTGCCTTGACAATTAGAAATCGGTGTCAAAACTTTGGGATAACGCAAGCAAAACCACTCGTATGCCATTTAAATGTCCCTTCGGTTGAATGAATGTGTTTGTTGCCTTTTTAGATTCACTGGGTTTCTGCCAGGTGTATCTGCAGTGTGATTTGGAGTCCTGCATCAGCAGAAACCGGACCAGGTCTGAACCCATTCCCACTGAGGTGATATCGGAGATGGTGAAGCGTCTGGAGTCTCCAAATCCACAGAAGAACTCATGGGAGACGAACAGCATTTCACTCAACACCACAGACGACTTGTCCAAATCTGACGTGTAAGACGGCAGAATAAGCAGTTATTAACACGTATTACTGAATCTCAGGCGCATAAATTAAGTATTCATGTGTTGCCTGTCTTTTTCTCTTCCTGTCTGGCTTGCCCTCAGCCAGAGGGTGATGGAGTTGATCTGTTCTTCACTTAGCAACCCACTGACCCCGGCTGAAGACGACACTGAACAAAAGGTGTGCCAATGTAGCTCCCCTCAGATGTTTTAATAGAAGGACTTCAGTTATGCAAGATGTGCTTTTCTCTCATATCGTGCAGGAGGCGGACCGCCTGAAATGTGCAACTAGTGTGGTTCACCAGACAGACCAGGCCTGTAGACGCCACATCTCTGAAGCCATGAAGACTGCCAGAGGTCAGTTGTGAGCATTTGACGTTTTATGCAGTTTGTCATTTGAAGCCCAGCTTTATAATTATTTTTTCACCTCAACTTTAGAGAATCAAGCACCTCCCGAGCACATGAGGTCTTTGGCCGCTCAGCTGAACGAATCCAAAGCAACATTTCTTCACGACCTGCGGAGACGGCTGTTTCATGAAGCGTCTTTCGCTCAAGACGAGGACATTGATGTAGAGCGTGTGGTGAAAAGAGCAGTGGATGTTTTTGACCGTGAGAAAGAGGAAATCCTGTTGAGAATCACAAATGAAAATAGATGACTTAATTATCTTCTTGAAGGCAGATTTGATTGCATCAAACGTCACGAGAAAATGCATGACAATCTGTATTTAAATGTAAATAAAATATACTTTTGCCGGTCATTGTCACAAAGAAAGAAAATGTATGCACACTACTATTTTATCCTGTTATTAAAAACTTTTTTATTTCAAACTCAAGATACTGCGATACATTCGTGGTCATCTACAAGGTCTCTGCCAATAAGGTGTCAGTATACAAATGCTATACTTAATAGATAAGAACACATTGATCTCAAATAATCACTTTCTGTCCATAAAAATATTAATCGCATACAAACAAGCTACCAAATGAATTAACATTTTAAATTACATCTTAAGAGTCGGAGATCTTTACAGTGACTCTACATCTCTTACTATACACAGAAGTGTGTACAGTGAAATCAGAATTTGTACTAAAAATTGGTACCACAAAACTACTTAAAGTTTATAAATACAAAATTGTTTCATGGAGTGAGGTATAAATAAATATCAGAACAGCAAGCAGGATTATAATGGGTCTGGCTGCACAAACGTTTGAACAGAAAATGAGCCAATTAAGCGGCCAGTCTTTGAACGTCTCACAGCGAAGTGTGTCCAGACAATTTAACTAACGGGCCATATACAGATGATGGACAACATTACAGTTAAACAGCCTCACGCTGAATAATGTTAGGTGTTAAATACTGTTGGTGTTTCATTGAAATGTCTCATGGATACGATAATGTCTCAGGATTATATGTCAAACACAAGAAGCTGCGTTGTTATAGAAGGGAGGATTCAAGATGTTTCTGTTGTTTTGTCCACCGTTTGTATGTATCAATCCAGAGCCAATATGAAAAGCTCAAAGCCGTATAGAACAGCAGTAAGACAACAACATAGTATTTAGCAAATTAAAAGAAAATAGTAAACTGTTCAGAATATAAAAATGTAAATCAGGGTTACCATGTTTAAATGCTGTACAAGCAATATGCTGAAAACACAAGGAGCAAAGACACCGTATGCATCTGTGTTGCTTGGAATCACTTTATATGTTGTCCGCGGGCAAAATGGCATGAAAAGTTGTATTTGTCTTTACACATGTGACCACAGATGTTGCACTGGAATGGATGTTCGTAGCCATGGCAGCCCATGTGAATGGTGTAGAGGATGTTATCCAGGAAGTGAATATCACAGTGCTGGCACTTATTTAGGAGCTGTTGGTCCGCTGGGGTCAGCGCAGGAGCCGGTGTGCCCGGCTGGCTGTTGCGGACACTCTCAGTAACAGTGTTCAAGCTGTTCTCAAAGCTGAAGCCAGGAGCGGGACTGCAGCTCCCGTGGCCTGACTTGGGGGATTCATATTTAGGCGGTAAAGTCTGCATGCCATTTGAACACATGGCAAGGTGTTCACTAGAGACCTGTTGTATGAGAATGGGCTTCTCATCTTTTAGGGACTCCCTGTCTGGGGATGCAGGGGTCTGAGACTCAGGATGAATGTCGGCTAACTGGCCAGCGAGTGTAGACAGCTGGTCCAGTGGGTTAATAAAAGTCAAATTATTGTCGTCTCTTTTATGATCGTCATTCTCGTCTACCTTGGGATGGTTCTTATGATCACTGCCATGCGTATGATGGTGGATCTTGTAAGACATGTCATTTATATAATTCGACTTTGGCATCCCCATGGAGGGAGGGTTATAGTTGATGAGCAGTCGCCTGCTGAAGCCCAACGCGCCGGTCCTCTTCTGCAGCGAGCTCAACATTCTTTTGTTGGAGAAAGGAGAGCGGACGGCCCTGGTGGGCAGGAGCTTGTGGCGGCGGCGGCGATGGTGCGACAGGTTGCTGCGGTCACTACAGCGGAAGGCGCAGAGGTCACACTTGTACGGTTTCTCTCCTGTGTGCGAGCGCATGTGGGACTCCAAGTGGCGCTCGTACGCTGAAGCAAACGGGCACAGCTGGCAGCGATGAGGCTTTTCTCCTGGGTGACAGGAAATAATTGTAGATATAATATCCATATTACCAAGCATACTTTACCGTGAAAGAGTAAACAGCTATGAAGCGGTAAGTACAATGTAGTATGTGTGCAGCACAAGAGATTACACAAAATAGACATGATGATAAAGACAGAAAAAGTCATAGCAAATACAATATATTCTTCCAATATATAATCCTAAATTTGTGGGGGAAATAAATGACAAATTTGATATATGGTACAATAACAACAGTAGTTGATTAGGGACATTTCCAGTCCATTTGACTGAGATCCCTGAGAGCTGCTGGTCCCTCAGCACTGTGTTCGAATGACCTGTATACAGTGTTTAGGAATGGATGCAGTGTGGACACTGACCTGTGTGGATGCGGATGTGCTCTATTAAACGAGCCATGCCCTTGTTGGCATAGCTGCAGTAGCTGCACTTGTACTTCCCATCGCAGGTCCTCTCCAGGCCGTCCATCTGTACATCTGGACCATCCTCCATGGGCAGGCTCACCTCCAAAGACGGAGGGTCCAGACCATTCTGCTCACTCCTGGGGGCAACTTTAAACCAAACAGCACAATGACTTAATCGAATGACTCTTACGTTATCAAAAGATATATTGCTGTAAATGTACTGTACTCCGTTCCCACCGGCTTGAAACGGCTCTCCTGGCTCTGTTTCTCCGCAAACAGAGCCCGAGATCATGTTGACATGTTGGGTCTGCTGGGTCAGGTATTCTTGGAATTCCTTCACAAAATCCACAGGCTCGGTCTTTATCTGTTCCATACTCCTTATTGAGCTTGATAACATCCAGAGGAGATGAGTTGACAGTCGGACTTGCAACCTACAGTACGTTAGCTAACGTGACGTTAGACGCCTGTGAAATAATGTTGACGGTTAGCTCATAGCTGCTAACAACAATGCTAACGTGGTCTCGCTAGCTCGACACCTTAAAGCAATTTTAATATATTAACACCGATTATCTAGCACCACCCTCAACGCAGTTCATAGCTTACATTTCAATGTGTAAGTAACATTATCGCTAAGCAGAGACAAGTGTGAAAACTGGCCGCTAGTGGATTAATTATCTGGCTAGGACCGTTACCAAGTGACCGCTTCTGGTTTTTGCTGAGTCGTCTGTGTTCCGTACTCCTCCAAACGCAACTGTTGCGTTCGCTGACTGTCGTCAAAAATATGCATGTTCATACATTTGGTACATACGAACGAGTCTCAAGAACGCTTCTGAAATTAGTGGTACATTTTTCTGTGTTGACCGGGTTGCCAAGAAACCCATAGTCCGTCCCAAGCATGCAATAATAATATAATTAAATATAAAGAGTTACATCTTCAAAATAAACATTCTGCATGAAAGCGCCTTTAGTTTCATTTTGTTTGAACCTACTTATAGAGCATCCATAGGAGAGCTTCACGACTGACAGCTTGATTTAAATTGTGATTGCTCATTCGTTTTATAATTTACGCTTAAGTTTCAAGTGTCTGATTCGCACAAGGGGCACTTGAAGGCAGCATAAAACCTCCGTTCGTCCACGCATGCCCCATGACGTATGCACGCATGCAAACATTTTGTAACTAATAATGGCTGCACCATTGGTCAGGATTTTCTCAAAGGTGAGACTGAATACCATTGTAACAGTTATTAACAATTGTCAGGTTTCATTGCTGCATTTAATAGATTTTGTCCACTGCAGGAATCCTTTATCCTTGAATTACGCAACGTTAACATAACCCCAGCTGGCTTTTGTTGACGTTACCAGCTAACACACAGCTAATGCTAGCATTAAGGGCACAAACGAACTTGCAGTGCTGGTAAATACCGTGTAGCACTCTTATTCAACGTGTGCATTTAGCCCAATACGCAGATAGACATTTCCACTGTTGCCTGTCTTGTTTTTAGTCGTGCAGACAGATCTCTCGACCATGGTGCCAGGCTGGATGGAGGAGCAGGTCCACCAATCCTGCCCCAGATGTGTCCTCAGACCAAACAGCTGGTATGGTCTCCTTTCCTCCACTTCAAACATATTCAGAGGAGGAGAGCATGATGAAGGAAGCGGGTGAGTTGGACATATGATGGTATTATAGATTCTGCTGCTGCTGGCAGCTGGAGACAGATATTCCCACAACACACTAAACATTATGTCTTGTTCTTTGACAGTTAAGAAATATGCACAAGAGCGCATTGCTCCGTTTGTGTCCAAGATGGACGAAAACTCTGCCATGGACGAGGAAGTGATCAAATCTCTTTTTGAACAGGGTGTATGTAAATCATTTAATTGCGAATTAACAAATATGTCAGTTCACTGAAGTCAGTGTCCGTCTTTTTTCCATGCAGTGATTTTCTTTGTTTCTCTTTACAGCTCATGGGCATTGAGATTGACCCAGAGTACAACGGCACCGGCTCCTCCTTCTTCTCCTCCATTCTGGTCATTGAGGAGCTGGCGAAGGTGGACCCCTCTGTGGCTGTGCTCTGTGACATCCAGAACACACTGATCAACACACTGTTTGCCAATCTAGGTACAACCGCTCAGAAAGAGCAGTACCTCAGCCGACTGTCAACTGACATGGTGAGCCATTTAACATACTGTCTCTCAGCGTACGGCATGAAACAGTACGTTGTCGGTGTGGCACAGATACCAAACGGTAACCTAAAGTTGAAGACATCTATGACAGGAAGATTTGTTAGAAGACCAGCCACATATTACTGTAGTAATCTCTTGACAGGCTGTGTATATTCTGCACTGTATTTACTCTAATGCTCTCCTGCACACAGATTGGAAGCTTCTGCCTCTCTGAAGCAGAGTCGGGGAGCGATGCCTTCTCTCTGAAGACGCGTGCTGAAAAACACAAGGACTATTACGTCATCAATGGATCCAAGATGTGGATCAGTAATGCAGAGCATGCAGGTGTTTTCCTAGTGATGGCAAATGTCGACCCCTCTTCTGTGAGTAACTGCTCATCTCTCCTATGTAAAAATACCAAATCTCTTCATCTCACATCTCAAAGATGGTTTGCAATAGAAAAGTAACATCTGATTGTCCCTTGTTTCCTGTGAAAGTAGCTACCGTCACTACCTCCAAAAGTTGCTAAATCTTGCAAGAAAGTCACCAAGTCTCCCTCAAGAAGATGTGAAAAATGTGCCTCTGTAATGTACAGATAAACCCACTATCAATTAACAGGGATACAGAGGCATCACCTGCTTCATAGTGGACCGGGACACAGAGGGGCTCGAGATTTGCAAGAAGGAGAACAAGCTCGGCCTGCGCTCGTCCTCCACCTGCCCGCTCAACTTTGACAATGTCAAGGTAACACCTCGCTCTGCACCGGACCAGTGTGCAACTGTGACTTTTACCAACTTCCTGCTTTTTTTTTTTAAATTTTAGGTACCAGAGAAGAACATTTTGGGCCAGATCGGTCAGGGGTACAAGTATGCTATCGGAATGTTGAACGAGGGCAGGATTGGAATTGCCGCTCAGGTGAGCAATCTTTATTTAAATGATCTACTTAAAACAAGCTAAACTCGCTCTGTTCAAGATTACAAAGTGTGAAAGGGAAATGTTGCATGTGCTAACTTTGTCTCTGTGTGTTTCAGATGATTGGTCTGGCCCAGGGTTGCTTTGACCACGCTATTCCTTACACCAGACAGAGAGTGCAGTTTGGACAACGCATCTTTGACTTCCAGGTTAAGCTCCACAATAGACTCACATGTTAGTGGTTATTCACATTATTCTGGGGACCCGCGTGTATTCATGGGGTTCTTATGTGGTTGTGTTACTGTGTGCGTTCCAGGGCATGCAGCACCAAATAGCGCACGTAGCGACGCAGATCGAAGCTGGTCGGCTGCTGACGTACAACGCTGCTCGTCTGAAGCAAGCTGGGAGACCTTTCATCAAGGAGGCCTGCATGGCGAAATACTTCACTGCAGAGGTGAGCTTCCTGCTTCACTGACTGCACTTCATCATCAGGGTTATCTGGGTTTTTGTCCGTTTATCCTGGTACTTAAACATGTTTACATTATTTCTCTTAACAGATATGTGTTGATGAATCTTGATTACCTTCTTTTCTATGTGCTGCTACCATGGCTAGGGAACTCCTGTAAAAAATATATATATATTTTCAATGTCGGTGAAACATCTTCCTGGTTGTATTAAAGTCATTATAATATCAGAATCAGATTTATTGCTCAGTAGGATTTCACATGAAAGGAATTATAGTATTGCAAAAATCACAAAACGTATAATGTAGAATAGAGGAGATATACAAATGAAGAAATAATATTTAAAAATAATACTTACAGTAAATCTCAATTACAAATGGGAGAGCTGTGTAGATTTTTTTTTTTTTTTTTTTTTTTTTCAAAGGTTCACAGTACAAAGTATAAAAAGCATATGCAATGTACAGGGATATATTCCCAAACGTGTGCGTTAAAGTAGCGCTTATAGACGGATGTGAAGGCTGTTAATGTAACGTGTAGTGTCTATGTGACGGGATAAGAGTCTGTTATGTTTTATCTTCCTCAGGTTGCAACTCTAACCACATCTAAATGCATCGAATGGATGGGAGGGGTCGGCTTCAGCAAAGACTACCCCATAGAGAAATACTACAGAGACTGTAAAATTGGTGAGCGTGACATATACAGTACATGAAATACGCACCATGCGACACATATGGGCTTTGTTAAGCTGTTGCTGACATTAGGAGCTTGTTTAGGTAATCGTGACTGAAGCTACAATGTGGAAAGGGACACAACTCATGAGGGCTGCAGGAAGGTCAGGTGTAGCTGTTGGTGATTGGTCCAGAGTGGGGCGGAGAGCAGGGCTGATAGTGGCGGCTGTAATCGGACTCTGCAGGAATTCCCCCCGGCTGGACCCCTCAGGGTGCCATTATACTAACACGCATCCAAGGAAGCTGCCAGGGCAAAATGTCCCTTTTCCTGTCATCGCCGCCATTTCGGCTCCCCAGTCCTCCAGCTGGAGCGCCGGCATACTGAGCTGCATAATAAGCCCCCACCTTGTCTCCTCCGCAGGTTCCTGTACTGTGCGGGGGAATTTGACAAAGTTGACCTTGTTTTGTACTGCAGGAGTTGCTTCTAATGCTTTGGTTTGTCTCCCATGTGCAGGCACCATTTATGAGGGCACAACAAATATTCAGCTATCGACGATGGCCAAGTTCATTGATAAAGAGTATGATCACTGAAACCACCTGACTGGAGCCTGATGGATGGCAAACCTGTGTTACACTCCGTATTCTTCCCCTCAAATGACTTTGTGGAGTGCATTGCTGTAGATCTGCATTCATGTTTTAGAGTTTTGTTGCAGTTATAGATGTTTGTTACCAATCCCACCTCTTGTTAAGTAGTTCACACTACTGATTTTACTCATGTTGTGGTTAAATGCCTCCAGCTTTAGGTTCAAAGTTGCTCTGGTACAATGATTTCTATTGCTTTCTTTCAGACCTTTCCAAAAGTCTAGGAGTAACTGAATGTATGTAGAGCTGCACCGCTTCCCTCTTGTTCATTCTTCTTCTGCTTATTGAGATATGGTGATGAATCATGACAGCACAACATGACTGATCCATATGTTTTTTTTTTAATATTAGAATTTTGAAAGATATTGATTGGTATTTTCTTTGAATGTTTCAGTGCCTTCAGAGGGTCGGCTATGACTGAGCTAAATCACTTAAAAGTGTGTTGTCTTCGCTGGCTCTCAAATAGGTGAATTCTAACATTTCACTCACTTACTACTGTACAGTTACTTGTTGGAGAAAATGTGGAAATAGTTTCACATCATATAAATAAATATTCTGTATAGAGAAATCTATTAATAACTTTGGCAATATCAATAAATATGAAGTATGATGTAGTGCAATTGACAGTCTTTCTTTGGTGTGACTGAGGTCGATTAATACGGAGCACTGCCACTAGATGGCAGCATTCTCCAAAGTGACAACAGCACTTTGAGTTGAGGCAGCTTCTCACTGAGAGAATAGTCCGTTCCCAAGTCGTTTAACAGCCTGTCACCTCTAATGACATTTTATATCAGTTTAATTATGCTGGCGCTTCAGATGAAGAGAGCCTGCCCTGTATAATCGACTTACTAATCATTTTTCAGGTGAGATTGATTACAAATACACGGCCTACATGTGCTGTGTAAAATGAGGTCTATTGTTTTACACAACACAGACGGGCTGTCTCCAAGTATACATACTAGTAATAGCCATTATTGCTCCTTGTAAATATCAGTTTAGCAAAAAGACATTAATCACTGACGGTACTTAATGATATTTATTAACAGGGATGAAAACATACCTGTCGCAATGGAGATTGTCACAATTGATGTCAAATATGTAGATGGTCAGATCCCCATGAAGTTAATGGATAACATTTGTCATTACATTGATTAAACTTTATTTTAACAGAGAAATCACAAAGCTCTCTTTCTCTTTGGGGCCCCGAAAACTATTCCTCTTACATATACAAAGAGGAGAGCAGAGACAAAGTAGACTGCTCTATTAAAAACAAGAGGCAAATATGTAGAGATCATATTTGACAAAGTGTTTTCCCAACAGTAGCTAAAAATGTCCCATTTTCCTTTTGTCAAATCATTCCAATTACAAAAAATCTAGATGTGTAACCTAATTCTGTTTGGTATTGTCCCCGTACGATTGTATTTACTGATATTTATTGTTACCTGTTGACACCAGATCAAACACAATATATTACTTTATATTTTGTCTTATAAAATAATATATCATTTAGGCATGGGGCGACACTGATAGAACTAATAATCCGACATGAGTAGAGTCTGTCTTTTATGGGTGGTGTAATTAGATATAAACATGACAGGTTCAAACAACACAATGTTATTAACAAGATCAGCACCATGCATGATTTGTCCAGACATTTCCAAAATCACTAAGACGACAAAATTAAAAACACAGGCCTGCGTTTGCATCATTGGTTAAGCTTACTTTGTTTCCCCCTCTGATCCACTCTGACTTGCTCCGTCTATTGTGCAAACCCCTGGTTAATGAGCATAATCTGATGGAAACACAGCTATCTGCTTTTCACTTTGCATTGGCAAAGGCAGCTCAACTATAGCCTCCTTCTCCGCCCCCATCTTTAACACGGCTATGAGACCTCTAATTATGCAGGGATTCAAGTAGCTTTTCACAAAACACAGTGTTGTCCTTTAGAGCTGGAGAGCGCTCCGTGAGCTAAAAGGACAGGCTGGATGTTTCTAGGTTGAGCAAATTCATTTGGTTTGATTAGTTCTCTGCGTCCGCTTGGAGTTTGGTGTTATTGATGAATCTTCAATGCATTCCATGGTGTGTTTTTTGTATTTTTGTATTTCATTTTATGGCCGTATTTACTGATAAGTTTGAGCCAAATGTTACAGGCATACATTTTTGTGTGTTTGCTTTAGGATTGATTTTCTAAGTAACATATACATTAAAAGCATATTCGAGCCAGTTGTTTGATTCAAAAATCCATGATTCGTCATACCTCTCCATTGTGAAGTCTCATAGTTTCCTCAATCTTAAGAGAAAATCATTTTTGACGACTTACAAATGTAAACACAATCTTTTTTTAATGAATGTCTCATATAAGTCGCTGCATCCAAGCAGCAGCATTATTGTAATATTTGACATAAAAAAGACTTGTGTCATCCTCATGCATTACATCACCTGCTGCCCCTGTGGGCTTTTGTAAAAAGCTGATTTGAAAAGGCTTTATCACTGTGCTAAGCATTCAATTTGATGCCTGCCTGTAGCACTTCCTGACTAATAAAATTACATTGAAGTCAATGGGCTCTGGTACAGGAGAAGTGCAGGTGCATAATGCTTTCCTGTTGCAGACAGGTGAAACAGAGGATATTTGAAATAACAGATGACTGAGGTTGATCCTCTGCAGGTCACACAGTTCAACAACAGCTTCAACACGCCAAAGTCAAACTAAAGACTCTGTCTTTAGTGTGCTATAATAATAAAAAAAATGTAAAGTCAAAATCTCCTTTTTTTTAAATTAGTTTTTATGTTTTCGGTGGTTTACAATAGTGCGTAAAATGTGCGTAATTTGCGTAATATTTGTGCCAAGGCCAAGCTGTTTACAGCTCCTCGTAGAGGTGTGATAATCCTTCGTCTGTTTATTCAATTTACTGACAGATGATTGCGGCTCGTGCACGCCCCAAAAAACCTTGAGACATTCTCCTCTTTAATCTAATTGGATGATAAGTGGGTACGCACTGTTGAAGCCCGAAGCCAAAAACGCTTGCCCGGCCTATTTCTCTGGAGTCTATTCTCGTCACAACCCCTCGCGGTTTCATCTCAAATCCCATTTGCTATTGTACCTGCCCAATAGCAGGGACCGAGCGCGTTTTAACTCGGATGGCATTTTTTTTTATTTCATCATTGCAATCCAGCGCAAGTTTGACGCAGTGATCTCTGAGCTCTCACTCTGTTCATCCTCAGGAGCTGTTTGTCTCAACTCTCTTTCTCTCTCTCTCTGGCTTAGTTTTAACAAAAACGATCATCTTTTTCGAGTGTTTTTTTTTTTGTTCGCCCTAGATAAGTTTTGATGGTGATCCACATCGGACAGTAAACGGTGATGGCAGACTCTGATGCGCAAGAGACTCGCCAACCTGCAAAAGACTCGCCGTTCTCCATAAAGAACCTGCTGAACATTGAAGACAAACCCACAAAGCCGAAAAGCTTCCTCGGCTCGTCCAGAGGAGTGTTTGAAGGCAGCTTCTTCTCTCGGCTCGGTGACTTGTCTTTCCCTCGATTTGAGCTGCCCACACAGAGAATTGGACTATCAGCGCAGTATTTGGAGAGAGCGTCCACCTGGTGGTACCCTTACACGCTCGGGACGCATCTGAGGACTGGAGGTAAATATAATTAACGTTGACGCTGCTAATGTAGGAGATGTGGTGTTTTGGTTTGGAGAAATCTGAATTTATATATTGTACAGCAAAGATGTCATATCATGAAGGGATATCATAATTTGTGATTTGAAATAAACCTATACACGAATTATCAGGAATCATGTAAATAAAAAGCAATATTTCAACAAAAACATAAACTGGATGTTTATGAATCAAAATGTTTTGCCTTTGAAGATCACACGTTTATTGTCTTAGTGGGTCAAATGTGAACACAATATTTTTTATTCTCAGCAGGGTCTGAGAAGGCCAGCCTGAGGGCAGCATCGCCGGTACCGGACAGGCGCTCCCCGGATCTCCAAAAAAGTGACCATGATGGCAAAGAGGAAAGCGCCGACGATGATATCGCGCTGGATGACAGTGACTCGGAAGAACCGAAGAAAGAAGTAGACCAGGAGGACGACTGGAGGAGGAAAACGGACGAGCTGGACTCCGATAGGAAGCCCTGTCGGAAGAAGAAGACGCGCACGGTGTTTTCCAGAAGTCAGGTCTTCCAGCTGGAGTCCACCTTCGACATAAAGCGCTACCTGAGCAGCTCGGAGAGGGCAGGCCTGGCCGCATCCCTGCACCTGACGGAGACGCAGGTGAAAATCTGGTTTCAAAATCGGAGGAATAAGTGGAAAAGGCAGCTGGCCGCGGAGCTGGAGGCGGCCAACCTAAGCCATGCTGCGGCACAGAGGATTGTGCGGGTCCCCATACTTTACCACGAGAACGGAGCCACAGAAACGGCCGGGGGCCCCGCTGTAAACTCACCGGGCAGCCAGTCACTCCTGGCTTTTCCCCACCACATGTACTATTCCCACCCGGCACTGCTGAGGCCTGTTTAACACTGACTGTGTCATCTGTACATATGTTTTTAAATGAGAGGACCTTCATTGGAAAAAAATAAAATTTTGTATATTTTGTAGATTCAACGGACACAATGTTAGGTCATGTAATTATTATTATTATTATTATTATTATTATTATTATTATTATTATTATTATTATTATTATAGCCTATGTAATCATCATTTATCCTGCTGGAGCGTCCTTGAGCAAATCCATATTGCAGTTATAATTGGTTATTATAGTTGTTATTATTATTATTATTATTATTGGTGAAACTGTTAAAGGCTCAAACGTGGGTGAACATAATTTAATGTATTCAATTCAATTTGAAAAAAAAATACTTGTTTTGAACATGGGTTGACTGTATTTTACAGAGATTTGCGTCAGTGTTTGTAGGAAAACATGTGGAATATATTATTTTTATATTTTCCAATATTGTGCAATAATGTTGGCTTCACATTAGATACCAGCCTTTGTCACCTATAAAAAAAAATCATCTTTCTCTTTGTAACAGTGCAGACAATCATGTGATCCTTAAGAAAATCCCCGAAAAACTGCAGGTACAGGCATTTGTTTTTATGACGTAGTGTTTTGCCGGTAATTTAAAAGCCATGCAAAGAGCCAAAAATAGCCTCTGTTTTTGTGTGTTTTTTCTCTGATATTGTTATTAAAATGATGTCTATTATATGGTCTTACACTCAGTAAAAATTCCGTTCCCAAAATAAATGTATTTATATCCTTAATATAATTGTGATACATGAAAAGGAATATTCAATTAAGTCGTGTGCTGAAGATCTTGGTTTCAAATATTTGTGAGGATGGAGTGATCCGATTTCTGTCCGATTTTTTTAAACGTGGCAATAAGGCACATTGAGTGTCTGCGGAGATGATCAGTCTCTCCTAAATAAAATACTAACATTTAACATAGCCTAATAAATGAAGGCTATCATTTTTAATCTGATTTGAACATTTTTGCACAATGCCTTATTTTAAACATCTTTTGAGAAACCATTGTTTTTCTCAATGTTTAGGCCGATAGGCTATTTTGACTACACATAAACAGATCTCTTGCTATGGGCTAGCGTTTTTCTGCCCAATTTTCTTAAAAAACAATATTTGTGCAGATAGGCTGTCTCACACAAATCAAGATGGGCACAATTAAGAGGCAAAGGGGATTACATAGTCCAGGAGTCAGTCGTTCAATTTTCACAAATGTTTATGATATTGATGTTTAGAAGGCTGAGATATTTTTCTTTTTTTGTTTGAGTCTGGCCTATAAGAGACTGTACACTGGACCTATTTGGGCAAAGTTCTCCTCAAAATGCAAAAAAAAAAGAAAAGAATATAAGGAAGGCTAGCCTACAGATACAGTATAGCATACAATAGCTTATAAGCCATAAGCCTGTGTACACTTGCTGATATATAGACCTGATAAGCACAATTTTATAATTATATTATAAGATTGTCATAGTTTGTAATTGTAGGCTACAATGGACACATAGTATATGCTGGCTTGTATTTGTATCCTGGTGCATTATAGCTTCTTCTTTTTTTAATGATTTTTGCATTGTATCTATCTTAAATGAAAGACACAATTAGGCCTTCTACTCATACTCAGAAAATGTCATGCAAGAGAGAGAGAGAGAGAGAGAGAGAGAGAGAGAGAGAGAGAGAAGTCCTGCGTCATGTGATCTACACTGAGACAACGGACATATCCGTATCAACCAATCGTATCGCAGGCGGGAATTTGAACGTTTGTCCTAACCAATCAGCATCCGCTGGAGCTACGGCGTCGCTTGTCCAGGAGCTAGCTTCATGCTGCCACATTGCGTTGTAGCATTCATTTCCACGTTGTATATTTTATTGGATATCAAGGCCTAATAATTAGGCTCGTTAAAGAAAATAACCAGTCGCGTGTGAAGGACACCAAACTGAAACGGTAAGTAAAGTGAAACGGCTAACATCAGGGCTTGTAGCGACGTTATCTTCACAGTTCTAAGCTACCGTTACCAAACACCAGTGTGCAGCAGAACGGGGCTCCCGGCTCCGTGTAATTGCTGGATGTAGCTGAACAAGTCGTGTTAAAGAAGAACAAATGCGATCGAGAAATTGCTGTTCCACCAGCTCTCGCAACAGAAACCCATCTTATTGAGCTTGTTATGTTATGTTAGCAAGCTAAGTAAGCTACTCGAAGGGGCTAGCTAACGTAGCTAAATCCACAACCACTCATTGAGGTAGGCTAACAACAAGCTAACTCAAAGCTAACTGTTTATGATCGCAAACCTTTATGTTATGGATTAATTTTACATTGTGAAAGTAATTGGATGTACACGTACATTTAGAACTCAAAAATCCTGAACTGTATAACTAACGTAGGACAGTGGCAGCCGCAGTGGTTTAGTTTAACAAAACTCTTCTAGTTGTGGATCAAATGACAACTCGGGGAGTTCAGTGTGGTGTATGTGTAACAATTACTAGTATTCTGAAGCATAATATGTAAATAAGTTGGTATTGCATCCACAGAGAGGTGATGATTAAACTTGAAGCCCCTGTTTGTGGCGTTGTTGAATTTGATGGCACAATAAGGGTGTATCTTGTGTCCAACCCTGTATATTGCCTTTTTTCTAATTGAAATGAGTAATTTATGCATCTATTAGGTGACATTACAGTCATTTTTTTTTTTTTTTTTTTTTTTTAGGTCTCATTAAAGTCACAATTTAGCATGATTCAGTCTCAATTTCAGACTTTGTGATATGTTTCCTCTTTGCAGATGACAGGCTCAAACGAGTACAAGCTAAACCAGGGACCAGAGGACAGCATCTCTGCCGTCAAGTTCAGCCCCAACGCTGCCCAGTTCCTGCTGGTTTCCTCCTGGGACTGCACTGTCCGCCTCTTTGATGTCGGAGCCAACACCATGCGCATGAAGTACCAGCACTCGGCTCCAGTTCTTGACTGTGCTTTTTATGTAGGTCACAGATTATTTGATTTGTTTAGGTTCCTTATTGTCATGTCAAACCCTCGGTGTCGAGGTACACATGGATAACGCTCCTCTTTAACTTGCAGGACCCAACACATTCTTGGAGTGGAGGCTTGGACGCACAATTAAAAACTCATGATTTGAACACAGACCAAGGTATGCCACAAACCTGTTGAGCACCAATAAAATGTCTCAGGCTCTATCGACTAAACCTTTCACAGATCTTCATAAGTATGCCATGTATTTGCTGTATGTGTTCATTTATGCTGCTCTCCGATATTATCCTTCAACAGATACAATAGTTGGAGCACATGACGCCCCCATTCGTTGTGTGGAATACTGCCCTGAGGTTAATGTTATGGTAACGGGCAGCTGGGACAGATCAGTTCGGCTGTGGGACCCAAGGACGCCCTGCAATGCTGGCACCTTTACTCAGCCTGAAAAGGTACAGACACAGTATAATAATATCGTATAGTAAAACAATGTATGCAAGATTTTACGAGTGACTTTCTTGCTGGTATATCTAAACAGCCTACCAGTTTCTCTGTGCATGGTTTTTTTAGTTATAGTCGTAATGACATGGCATGTTAATGCTCCCTGCCTTGTTAATTTCATGTATTTTTCAAAGTAACGATGTTTGGGACGGACATAACAAAAAAAACGACAATTCAAATGTATTTTTCAGGAGCATCTTTTATTGGTGCACAAAGCGGTAGCCCTTAAAGCTGCACTGTTTTTGATTAGATTGGATTTTGGCCTGGATGTGTAAGAGAATGAAGACCTTGTAATTGTGTTTGTTTACTGTCAAATGATTGTGTACCACATTGTGGAAGACTGCTTTTAATTTGCTAGCGTGAATGAAGACTCTGCATTTCTAGTGTTCCGTCTCATCTTGTCTCTTGTCTTTGTGAAAGGTGTACACCCTCTCTGTGGCGGGAGACAGGCTGATTGTTGGCACGGCTGGAAGACGAGTACTGGTGTGGGATTTGAGAAACATGGGCTACGTCCAGCAAAGAAGAGAGTCCAGTCTCAAGTATCAGACCCGCTGCATTAGAGCCTTCCCCAACAAACAGGTACACTCTGACTTAGAATCTACCATTTTATCAATTAAACGTGTGCACCATTCTACTATACAGACATAGACGACAGATCAAACCTGTCAGATCATTTAATCCAAAGAGCATTCTGTCAACGATGCAGATTGCTTTTGTTAATGAATAGACCTCGGATGGTAACTTCATATTTTCTGTCTTGGCTCCAGGGCTACGTCTTGAGTTCAATCGAGGGACGTGTAGCCGTGGAGTACCTGGACCCAAGCCAGGAGTTTCAGAAGAAGAAGTATGCCTTCAAATGCCACAGGCTGAAGGAGGAAGGAATCGAGCAAGTTTACCCCGTCAATGCCATCTCATTTCACAGTATTCATAACACCTTTGCAACAGGTACGACTGGCTAGTTATTACATGACAAAATATATTAATGAGTTTCCTATTGCGTTTAGTTTGTTTCTGTAATTTGTTCTTATAAGTCTCATAGATTCTGATGTGACCTTTAGCCTTGCACGAGCAGCCCACTGTTCTTACAGATCCATATCTCAGCAGTAACGCAGCCTAAATCTTTTGAGGTTGACCGTGAGCGCCTCTCCTTCTTCCAGGTGGCTCGGACGGCTTCGTGAACATCTGGGACCCCTTCAACAAGAAGCGCCTGTGTCAGTTCCACAGGTACCCGACCAGCATCGCCTCGCTGGCCTTCAACAACGATGGCACCATGCTCGCGATCGCCTCCTCCTACATGAACGAGAAGGGTGACATCAACCACCCAGAGGACGCCATCTTCATCCGCCAAGTCACAGACGCTGAGACGAAACCCAAGTGAGTCTTCCTCACCCCTTGTGTATGACGGTTTGCCACTCACTGAATCATGTATGCAGCACGTCCAGCTGCAGCATGTGCTGATCTCTATCTCTGTCCGCCCACTTTTCAATATCCGACAGTTGAAAGATAGACAGATGCGAACTTGAAAATCCTCCCACCAGTTTGTGTGTCTGTGCTGTCGTGAATATACACTCGGTGACCGTGTAATGCAATTCTCTACAATAGCCCTGTAATATATACCTTTTTTGTGAAACAAAATCAATGTTTGACCAGCAACTCTAATGATTATTCCTTTTAAAAATGTTTGTATGCAGTATATGGTTACACATCTTGGACTCAAACTGTAACGCAGTGGTTCTCAAACTTTTTCTGTCACGCCCCACTTTGGAGGAAGAAAAATGTTCATGCCCCAACAACATTGTAACAAAATGGTCCATGTTGAACTTTTATTGAAATAACATTGTGTGACTCCTCCATCTGTGCTTTTTCAAATAATAAAATAAAGAAAATTTATTTGGGGGGGGGCTTCATGTTTCACCATGTTACGTTTTTTTCCTCCTAAATCGTGATAAGGACGAACGTTAACAGTCCACGAAGTTCCGCATGCAGTGGACGTTAACTTAACCCAGCAAGTCAAGTGTGAACGGTAACATAACGTAACTTAAACTGTAACAGAGGGAAAGACGGTGTAGACATCTTAACGCTGATTGGCCAAGACTCGACACGTCACATCAAAGATGTTTTATTGTGAAGATCACGACATCACCTTTTCTCCTCGTCTCACTCCAATCTGAGAAACGCTGGCTGGCCAGTTGACCCCCCCCCGTCCTCCCTAAAAAAAAAACCTCTACGGATCTACACGATCCACGTGGATGATATATTTTGATTCAAGACGGCGAATTTTGCCGAAAAGCGACAAGTTTGCAGGTATGAATAAAGTTCTTGAAATAAAATAATTCTGCATTTCCCCCTGCGCCCCACCTGCAATACTGCTGCGCCCCACAGTTTGAGAACCACTGCTGTAATGCATCGTTTGGTTAAATGTTTTTTAGCTCAGAAGGAATTGTGATTGTTGACTTTTCAAAAATGTTTTGTGAAGACGAAGTATGAATTTTTTTGTATTTTGTCGCACAATAACGAATTTGGATTAATAAAGTTATAAAACATGTATTTTTAGCAGATCTTTTTGTGTGTGTGTGTGTGTGTGAACCTCGGACACTATGCAACAATATTCAATGACATGTCTCATCGTGCGTTGGGTCAGTCAGTGACTGCTCCTGAGTTGATTTGAATCCATTTTCTCCTGTTTTTTTTTTGGTTTACAGGTCAACCTAAGTCCACCGTGGACTGGTTCCCTCTGCGTATGAAGCCTTTATCACATTTGGGTTATGTGCTGGCGTCCGGAGAACCATTACCACATTGTTTGCCATCATGCCATTCCAAAAGCAGTTTTTTTTTCTTGTGAAACCCTTTCTTCTTATTTGTGGCTCTTGTTAAATATTTCATTGTTTCATGTTTTTTTCTGACAACCAACTATGGTTTCTCTTGACTAAATCATTTTTACATACTCCTTTTTGTCATTTTGGAGTCCTCTAAAAGTTGTGTTTACTCTACACTGAAGCTGTCCTTGGATCAGTCTTGTAACATTTTGACAGTATAATAAAACGTTTTTTTATCTTTAAAGTTTTGTCACATGAACTACCTGTGAAAGAAATGCCAGGAATGTGTCCGGGCTGAAGAGGCTGCTCTCTTGATGATGTGTTGAGGGAAAGCGATGATCCACTTGTCTTGCCGAGGGCTCCACTTGCCCCCAGACAGTGACCTGTATTGATAGACATCGGAGGTCCGCGGCCTAAACCAGATCCGGCTTTTATTATTGGGGAAAATTGGGAGAAAACGACTAAACTGAACGGCCCGGTTGCATCTGGCAGACTGAGGGCTTCACTGTGCAATGGGATTGTTTTTAATCTCATTTAATGAGAAATGTTATACAGAGTGTCATGCATAAAACATTGTACAAATTGTGTTATTATAGGAGATAAAGGGCGATGGCGGAGTTTTTCCCTCAGTGAACTTATACCTTTTTAATCCATATCGCTGAGTTTATCTGCTGCTGTGTCGTAAGTTGTTACACTGGTGACAGAGTCGGACGCGATGCAGACCTTTTTTTTAATGCAGCAGTCAGCATTATATGAATGGGAACAGTAAACGCAGAGCAGTACACCGCAAAAGTCTAAGTGGTGTCTTTTTCCCCTCAGTTATGATTTTCAATTGCAACTAATGCAATTTCTGAAGCCCTTCAGCTGAAGCAGCAGAGAAGATATAGATGTCAATTATTCTATTTAAGAGCTCCAATTTTTTCTAATGGCTCTATCTGCTTCTGTGGTATCCTGGAAATGATTAGTCTGGATTGGTTAAATGATGTAACTAATTCCCATGATTGTCGATAATGAGTCCATCTTTGACGTTGGATTATGACTGCAGCTTAATATGAAATGGCATTCATTTTGGGACATAATTACAACCCGTGAAGCAGGCGGAGAACGGCCGCCGGGTTTGTTGTTGAGGCTGCAGCGAATTACCTTGTTTCCTGTCGTCTTTGGCTTCCGCTAAATTGGAAAATTGAGTTCTTTGAGGGCGAATTAAAACTGTTACAGGTTTTTTGTCTCTATTGTTTCGCTTTTTTTATCGGGGAAAAAAAATAATTTCGCAGCCAATTTGTCAGGTGCATTGAAGCACTGTTTTCAACCTTAAAACAGTTTGCAAAGAGTAACAAGGAATTCCATTTTGATCAGTGCCGTACATGATTTATTAAGGCCTGTAACTTAACAAATTGCAGCAGATACATCTCACATTATCAGCATCTTCCTCCAAGCCTGTCTCCACAGATCTCTCCTGGGTTTTTCCTTGTTTTTTTGTTCCTTAAGCAAAGCCCCAGTTAACCACATCTGTGGTTGTGTGGCCAGGCTCTGGTTTCAAACCGCTGAAGTGTTGCAGACAGTTTGGCTCTACATGAAACCGTTACATGACAATTAAAATGGGTGATCGTGCTCCAACAGCCTGTCATGTGCATTTAACCCAACCACAAAAGGCTCTTATGTTCACTCAAGAGGGCACAGATGACCTTCAACCAGACACCTTATCTCTGTCAGGACCGGTTTCTAATATATCAAGCTAATGATACCATTCTCCATGTGTAGGAAATGGGGAAATCACATGATGCATCAGGAAAATGTTGACAGCATTCTGTATTATGGTTTGCCTTCCTCCTTAGTAATAAAGATCAAACTATTTTACTATTTATTTTATAAGCATACAGCAGCATTCATTCATTGTATAACACTGACTGTATACACACACAAAAATGAGTTTTATTGCCAGGCTTCCTGACCATGTCGGGAGCGGGGACGAGTGGCTTCTGAAGGCTCCAGCCCCGAATGTTTTCTCAAAAGCCCTGAATCTTTTAGCTTTTTAAAATACCGTAGACTTTGTGTCATTTGCCTTCAGTCTCTCTGACTGCACCAGCAAATCAATGGAGCAAAAGTTCTAGTACTGGGGAATCATTGTCATCTATGTCTGCCCTCACTTTATCAACAGGCTTGTTCTATGTGCTACTACTACAGCGCTATTACTTTATTAGTAATGCTGTACATACCACATTATGTAAGTTAAATAGTAGCATCAGACAATTCTTTTGCTTTTCAGGTGACAGGAGTGAAGATTAGGCGTAATAAAGTTTGTTGTGTTATGGTTTGAGAATGATACAGACAGTTTGATAGGATGCAGGCTCTACAGGAGGAGTTTTTTTCCTTGGCATCCTGTTTCCAGTACATCCCACCTGGGGGAACAAAACCTGAGCTTTTCACTTGTGGCCTGCCACAGCACCTCACCCAGAGCTCCCCCCGCCTCGAGGAGGATTTTTAAAGAGCTTTGGTGGGCAAGACAACATCTCCTTGAGAGCATTGTAGTTACATTAGAGCCTAATTAGATGCTAAAGCTCAAGGCCATGTAAACCACTGCTAGGTTTCACACTCGTAGCCATCCATCTCTTTACAGGCCGGGCCAGGCAGGCAGCATGGGGCTGACTGGTGAAGGGGACTCTCACCTGGGAGCTGGGCTATAGTAAATCACAAATCTCTGGGCGTGACAGGAGGGTCACAGATTTTGGGCTTGAGGTTCCTTTTTGGCTCCTAGGCTTTGTGCTGCAGATTAATCATTTGGTTAATAAATGGTTGGCATTGGTGTTTTAGAACCAGGCCTGTAAGACTATGAAACCAGATTTAGAGAACCATAAAATATCTAAGGAGACTGACTCTTATTGTTTCCGTACACTCAACTTTAAGCCACACATAGATCTCTAAAGTATTCATCCAGACATCACAGTAAACATTCACTTCAAACGGTGTCGTGGAAATTGATGCTTTAGTGGGGAAAAAAAGTGCAGCATTGAAATCAGCTTTCATGCCACCTGTCAAACTGATGAATGTATAAAGAAGGCAGGGGGCAGTCAGTGCAGGGTGACTGCCCTTCAGGGTCAGGTTTGAAAATGTATGGCCAGGGGGCACCAGAGCTGCAGAGATTAAAGGTGAAAATACTCAGAAAGGGGAACTCTTGTTTGTGACTTTTGCTCGCCCAGAACAGGAAACAGCTAAGCCCCAAACGAGTGAGATATTTTAGGTATAGTGATTGATTTAATCATGTTTTGTTCTGATGAAGTGTTTAAGGTGTTGCCTTCAAAACAGTGAGACAATGCTTGATGGTTCCTACTGAGGAAGGACACCTTTCCCAATTATTGGGTGCTAACCATGACTTGTTAATGTCCTCCAGGGGTGAAACCACAAGTAATTAAACTCAACAGATCCACATCCAACAGAAAACCACCTGTCAGGCTCTGTGAGAACTGATGGCACGCTGATGGATCGCACAACATATTCCGCTTGAAAACATAGAACTTGTTGCATTGTAATAGATGATTTGTGGTCAGCCTTGGAGTGACAGTTTTCTTTACACTGTCAAAAAAAAATACGGTGAGGGCAGAACTCATGGGGGGCTTTGTAAAACTTGTTATCCCCACTTAAACTGAAATCAGTTTGCATCCTTTTTCGTACTCTCTCCATGTCTATGAAACCCTCTGAGTTGTTTAATAGGTTCATGGCCACAGGGCAAGGGTTACAGTTTGTCCTTCCTGCAATTAGCATTCACGGTTAGCTTAGCAGAACTAATGCACCACATCTTTGAGGCTCAGGTTCCCTGTGTGCCTCTGAGTGACCGCAGGCGATATTTAGCTGACTCCTTGTATCCATTTCAACATGCTTTACCAGAAGTTATTGGCAAAATCCCCTGAAGAATACCATTTCAAGGTATCATCAGCCAATTAATGGTCTGTGTCATTTTGTTGCTCTGAGGAACAAACAGAGGAGATGGATAAACCTGTGCATACCGTGTGCTGAAGTAGACTACACTACAGCTCCAAGTCATGCTATTAACCTGTGGTGAAATTATTTCTGCCTTTTTTTGGGGGCTGCGTTGCAGTGTAGGCAGTTGCTATATGCTGGAAAAGCCACTTTTCCTGCGGGATATTCTGTCTTTGAATCAGGCTTTGAAGATCTGAAGGGATGTGCACACTCATCTGCATTCGTAGAAAAGGAAGGCCCTCTCTGAAATGACCTGCGACTTCCAAAGTCTCCCGTCATCAGCCAGATCTTCTAGAGCCTGAAAACAGAGCCAATCGGAGGCGCACAAATCTAGTTTTCTCTCAGACCACTTTAATTACAATATACTGAAAGGCTGAAAACAACTATGCCAAACATAAAAGGCCTACCCTCAGGTTTAATTACTATATTTATAAAACATATCTACATTTTCTTTACAAAGACCCATGATGAAAGCAGTAAAATTACATTCAAACATAAGTCAACATCAGGTTGAAATCACACAATTCCCAGGTTATATCCTTCTCCAACATCCCAGAAATAGAGTTTAACGAGAACATTGAAAGGGAGTTCCATATTACTATGAGTTCATGTCTATACTTAGCCTATTATGGATGTGGAAATGTTTGTTTAAACTCCAACCTGTGGTTAAAGCAGGGAAAAATCTATGTTATTGAAATATAACATACATTTGTCATTTCCTAAGTGCATTCCGTCTGAGTGATCAGTGACTGCAGTGCATTACAGAGTCCAATCAATGACGCACAAAAAGAGGTGCTTTCATAAACAGCTTTTGATTATTGGACATTATTAACTTTTCTGAATTCAGTGAAGTGAAACGCTGTGCTGCCCCATCGACTCAAATGCAGATTAAGCAAACTAATGTGAACACAGTGATCGATGCATTCATCTAGTGATGTTTCTGTGCGTATGACGGCGATGCACTGCGGAGTCTGGCTCTAATTCATCATCATCCACACATTATATTATTATTGATGGCCCTTGCCAGGGGCTAGTCCATTTGTTTTTCAGATTTGTGACAGGCGGCAGAATGCTGGATGGAGGTTTATTCTGCAGCGGTGCCAGCAGCGTTGCACACAGCTCTCTTATTTATCTATTGATCATCATACCTCCCAATAATCTGGCGCCTGACACATTTGACAACATTATGTGGAACAGGTCAGAGGACAGCGCTAATGAAACTGAATGATGGATGTTGTTATCCGCCACATTAACCTTGCTGATAGTTGTCACAGACGGCAGGTTTACGCACACTGTGACCGTGCGGAGTCTGTTGGGATTGGCATCAAAAAAAGAGCATTCATTGAGGTGGTCCAGAGGCATATGCGTGAAAAAAAAAATTAAAAAATAACATTTTACAATTAAATATAACATCAGTGTTGCAGCCATGCGTGTCAAAAGATGTCTAAAATAAGGTTATAGAGCATTTCAATGATCATGTTTATCTGTGAAGCAAGTCTTGAAATTTGAAATTGTCACCGAAAAACATTCACTTTTTAATCAAATTTCAACTGGCTTTAACCTAAACGTCCACCTGAAAATCACCACAACCATGCTTACAGGGAGAGTGCTTCTAAAGTTTGAAAATAAGTCTGGGAAAAGGGAAAAACAGATTGTTTGAGGGATGAAAAGAGTAAGAGCTCCTTTGAAATACATTTTAACATGTCTTACTACGTAATTTTAGCTCTACTGCAAATAGTCATCAAAACAGATTTCATGTCAGCTCAATGAAAAATTAAACCACACACGAACATCATCTCTGCAATTCATCCAAACAAGATAAAGGAGAGCAGATATTTTCCACATCTGAATTTTTTGTTAAAAAGTCTTAGAAAGCAGGTAGAAAATTGCATTGTAAAAAAAAAAATCGCATTCTGTGCGAGCACTGTGAGTGAAGTCATAAGAGAGGTCTGTAACACCAGGCGTGAAGTGAGCTGTATGACTGCGAAAGCGCCGCTCTGCTCCTCTCCACTCCATCCATCCCCGCCTGGCTAATGTATCCCTCTCAATAGCCGGGGACAAGGGGAGAAAAAGACTGCCTGTGTGAAGCACAAAAAGCTCCACCACCACCACGCTTCCCCACAGTAATTGGCAAGGAAGCATCATTTCATTCACTCCTGTATGTCTTTTGTTGTCCTGTAGGTTTTTTTTTACAAGTGTGGTGCTTTTGAGGGTTGTTTAAAGACCGGCTAATTTCTGCAGCCCCTGCCTGTTGCTACCCCATGTGCCCATTAATTTGTTCTTTTTTTTATTGGACACTGAAGTGTATTAATAACTCTACATTTAATAGAGTCTTGATGATACTTTTGAGTACCCTACTTAATTTTGTGCATCTGCAAGAGAAAAACATTTAATCTCTTCTGAATCCGACTGCTTTCACACTCTCACAGCTTTGTTGCTGTTCAGTAAAGTAGCGGTCACAGAATAGGGGTTTTGTGGGCATTGTCTCCTTTCATCACCACATTGTAGTAGTTTGTATAAAAGCCTGCAAAATGTAGCTGGTAGTTATGTTTTCACCACAATTACACTTTATCCTGTCATAAAGTGCATTCAAAAAAATGTCCCCTATGCTACATCGCAGCATTTCTTTTCTTTATAAGCACTTTTAACCCTCTGATTCATCAGCTTTATATGAATACATGGTGCTAAGAAAGGTCTATCTACTTATTGGCTTTTTCAGGTGCAATTCAGTCATCATGTACCTTTGTCACGGATCCTGTATTTGTGTAACATGTTCACAGCAGTTTATACAGCTGTAACAATGTTGAACACTAGTGGTTCCCAACCTGTTTATTTGCGTTTGACCTGTTAATGTAAAGCCATGTAAACCCCTTATCACAGGCTACATAAGTTGTGAGCATCGAATAGTTATTTTCCCTTCTCAGTAAAATGTAAGTATTTTACCCCCAAAAAACAATAAATATATAATTGGAAGCAGCAGTGTCCTGACCCAAGACACAGCAAGGTCTTGGATTAATAAGCTTTTGAGTTTTTAGCCTCGCAGCATAGCTGTCCACCATTTTGGTCCAGTTGGAAATATCTTTGGATTGCAAGCAATTTGGTACAGACATTTACGGTGCACAGATGATGTAGCCTATCTCAATGCTTTTGATGGTCCCCTGACTTTTCCTTTAGCTCACCATTCTTTTTTTTGGTGAGATGTCTTGACAACTATTGGATGAATTGCCATGCTACATTCATGGGGACATTCAGGTCTCCTTCAGCACTCAGGATGAATTGTAAATTTGTCCGTTTGGTTTATGATCAGTTACCTGCAGTAATGATATTCCCATCAGCCTCAGCTGTAATTTGTGTTAGTGCTAATTAGAAATAGTCAGCTATTTCCACCATGCTTTAATGCTACACTGGTTACAGAAAATGAGCCAAACAGCAGGCTTGTGACACCCCTGGCTTCTCCAGAGAAACACAAGCTACCTAGTTTATTACTCGACCATTTGTCTTCGGAGCTGCGTCCGCTCTCTCTTTAAGCTACAATAATGGTGTCAAAGTTCCAATAAGGAGAAATACTTTTGTAAAACTTGAAGCCGTGGTAGCTGCTGTGATAACATGAAGATAAGAGACGCAAAGTGATTGTTAACTGCTGAATATCAATGCACTTACAGTTCCAATGCATTTTACTGTTCACGTTGTTTTTATGTAAGGGCACAATCAGAGCCAAGAGTCATTCCTAACTGTTCCCCCACTTACAGTAAACACAGCTTTTCCTGTGGGGTTAGACTCTCAGTACAACACAATCTCATCTCTAGGGCCCTTTACAGATGAAACAGGCTTGCATCTCAGAAAATGTTACAGTTAAAAAGAGTGTATTGACCTCCGTCTGATCAGAACCTTTGAGCTAGTCAAGCTGAAGAAGCAAAATTGCACAAGGTAGGGCGCTCACATAATGCGATCAAACTGTCTTTACTGCATCTGCGTTCAAGCAGGTGAAAGGAAGCGTTTCAAACCATTTTTGAGAGGGGAAAAAAAAACCCCAGTTATGTCCTCGAGTACTGACCCGTATGAATGCAGCACTGTGGTGCAGGATTTCCAACTAAATGGCTGTGGTTGAGACAGTGGCTCGTTCCTTCGCATATGTCATTTGAGAGGGATCTGTCCTTTATGTCCAGGCTGCTCTACAGTTGCATGTCCTGTACAAAGGAAAGGTCAAACCAGTCACCTGACCTAACAACCCTGTGGACCGTGCCAAACGGCGCGAGGTCAAAGTTGGACACCTGGTCTTATTGCAGGGTCAAGACTTTTACTTCATCACTTCCTGGATGTGCCAGCTCTCAAAGTCTTTCTCGACGTCAAAACATGCAACTTACAGATGGTAAGAACAGCAGTAGAATATACGACGCAGACGTTTACTGCAAAGGAAAACATATTTACAACTAATTCTATTGTGCTATAGATTCACATAAACTCGATATCCGGGAGGATTTCCATTTAAACAGAACCCTCATTGATTCAGTTTCCTGAGGAATTGCAGCCTGGGATCACTTTACCTTGTTACCTTGTCGCACTATGTTCTGGTCTGATCTCCATGTCCATTTCCGCTCTGCTTCCCCTCCCTCTCGCCACCACGCTGCCCAACAGAGTTCGCTTTGTCCCCGTGGCCAGTCATCCATTCCTAATATCCAGACTTTCACCGCACGGTAGACGTGCTGCGTGCTTTCACAGAGCAAAGTCAGCCATTGAAGGATGCCCTCCATCTCCCAAATGAAGCTTTGAAGAAACCTCCTGGCCCAGTAGTGACAAGTGACTTTGAATAAGGAGCATTAAATCATAAAATATTTTTTATTATGACAGCAGATAGTACAAATATATGTAAACATAAAAACTATGTTTAAAGCATGACAACCATGCTTTAATCACTCGACTCTAGAGTATTGTTAACAACCAAGTAGGCTTGATACTGAAAGTGCTAGAAGTTAAAAAACAAATCGCAAAACATTCATATTAACCCGCATGCACCCACCACTCAGAATCATATATAGCAATGTCTCACAACCCTTCTCATCCCAGATCGTCTGATATTGTCAATATTGTTTGTCAAGTGTAGCGGAGAAAACAGTTCCTCAGGACCATAATTAGAACTTAAGTTTGAATATGTAAAAGAAATAAATTCATCAGAACACTTTTACATTCAAGCAATGTTGACCAATATCTGAAAACAACCAGAGTCTAAAAAATCTGCACTTACAAATACAAAGAGAACGGTACTGTTTGTGCAATCTGTCCCTCAGGTGAAACAGTAAACAGACGTTTGAGTATAGTGTAATGATGTTTCAGGTATGAGAGATGCCATGCAAAGAGATACCATCAACACAGAGAGCTCCTTCTATTGCATTAGCTAAAGGCACTGATATCTCGATGTAAATAACTTCATTTTGGCCGCTACCAGGCAAAGAAAATACAATTGCTAGCTGTTAGCGCAGCCGTGTAAGCCTGGTAACTGATGGAAAGTGACTCCGACAGTTATGAATGGCACGGGTGGCTACGCTTGTGCGCTCTTGAATATGTTATCATCTCCTCTGTGCGGTGGAGCATATTAATAAAGCACCTCACAGTTACACTTTCTAAACAGACGGTAAATCACTGCCCGTTAAACCCACAGAGGCAGTCGTCGTACTACTAGAGGCCACCAGCTTTTAACCGCCACGATTAACACATTAAACACTTCAATCTGGAACTGATGTGACACAATCAGCGAGCATAATGATTAATTAATGGCTCGTGTAAAGTGTGGGCCAGCCCCAGAAATTCAAAACAAGAGAAACTTAATCCGTGTAATTGTCTGAAACCATTTTCATTAACATAATATTGCCACTGAGGATTGCAGAATCAGTGAAATTGTCATTTTTCTTCTCTTCTTTTTTTTTTTTTTCAATAAATGTTCACTTAAAGACATTCAGAACTTGTGTTTTTAGTACAATATGACAGATTGCAAACACTGCATAGTAAAAGGCACTCATTAAAAACGTGAGTAGGTTTGAGCTAAATTAGGAGCTTTTCTTCTTGTAATTAAGAATGCTTCGTCTCCCCGCAGAGCCACGTTGTGATGGCGTTCCTCTTTATCGACTGACACACGCGGTCAGTTGCTGAGTAAGATGCTGTGAATGGTGTTTGCTGGGATTTTGGCATCTGCTTCCTCCCCGCTGATCCTGAAGATCACAGCAGTGTTGGAGGGGATGGTGGTGGAGGCGTTCAGGGATTTTCCCAGCCAGCCCTGAGATCCACGCTTGTACATCTTAACCGTTACCTGCAGAGTAGGACAGAGAGAAGTCAGCAGGTAATACATATAATCAAGATTATAAAGTGAAGTGTTGTACAGAAGCGGCTGAAAAACAGGGAGCTGTTCTTGGATATTCAGGGCTTTTGCTGGGGTCAAGACCCCTGACGGAGACCTCCTGACCTCTGCCTGGAGCCAAGCAGACGTTCATGACTTTCACATTTGAACTCTACGTGGACAAGCTGTTGTTTTGTCTATGAGCTTGTAGACTCAAGTTCGGTACAAACATATTGATTGTGGCTTGTTGGAACAGGGACAGGGTTTAATAATGGATCAAATAAAAACGTCTGTCAAACTTGAGGTCCATTTTTACCTGGAAAGGATTGATTTGATGATCTGCAGGTAAAAGATGGCGAGGCATCCACGACATCACAGGACTAACTTTGGTAATTACCGTTGATTCAGCAGCATTTTAATTACAGTAGCAGGTAACTTTTTATTGAAATGAAGTAGAAATATTTTGTATTTTTAAATTTTTAACCACATTCAGTCTGGTTCTGCCTATTGTGAGCTTATTTTTCTTTTAAAATGATTCAAATGATAAGCAAAACAATTGCCGATTACTGATAAATTAATAAAAAAAAATTCTGATATATCAGGCTTATTAATAATTAATTATTTACATTTACCAAATGTATTACAGGGTAAAACAAATAACTTCTCCTTTTATTGGAAGATAATACTTGCACAAAGATCCTCCTTAGGAACCAATTACTCTTCAAAAAAATAAAATATGTAATATTTTCCACAACCTTGCTAAATGTCTGATCCGAAAGGCTTTCTGAAACAGAATAAATATTAAATTAACCTTGTTCTCACTGTGAGCTTTTTTAATTCCCCTCCACATCTTGAATGGAGTCACACCTCTCTTGATTTTATGTAGGTTGTAGGCCATCATACGCTTTAACATTACATCAATACTGCCTGCTATGTTTGAGCCTGACAATAGAAGCCTTAACTAGATTTAGACATGCAGGTAATTGAACCACATCCATTTCAAAAAGAATGCCTCGCTGCATCTCTTGTTTGGCTGCATTTACAGGGGATAACAGAATATTACAGTGCCTTTTCACAGTTCCATTTTCTTTCACTTTAGCATTAGGCAATTTTTCAATTATTATTTTTTTTCCATGTTCTTTCATCCCCGGCTCTCCATAATGTCTGGGCCTTTTAGTTAATGGTAGCGACAGTCAGAGCCCAGTATATCGGCCCTTGTCCATTTTGCAGGTCATTGTGGAAGCCCAATAGGCCTTTTATTACGCCGACATCAAAAGGCAGATAAGCATTAGAGGTGGGGAGAATACCCTGCACTAGATATGTTCCCTCTTTCCTTTGTCTGCTATTGAAAGTGATCATTTTAATAGTGAAGAGGTTGGTGAGCTTTGGGGCTGATGGGAAGTGCGACACCCCTGATGGCCTACGAATATGAGCAAGTCGATAACACAACACGAGCACACAGCACACCCTCAACACCTGCACACTCTTGCTGCTAACCTAATTATCTGCAACAAAGGCCACTGCCATTACAGACACACATCTTTCCACCATTTACTTACTTATTACTGCGCATTAAAACAGGGAGAAAGCGAGAAAAAAAAAAAAAAACCCGGAACAATTGTGTCTTATATTGCAGCCATGGAGCCATGGCCGAATGCCACATGGCTTGTATTACAATAGCGTCAGACACTTCAGAATGAGTGTCTTTTAATTTAGGATGCATGAACAAATAGCGTCATGACAGCTGGTGGCAGAAAGGCGCATAAACCAACACAAAGACATCATAGAGGAGTTATTCTAACAAATCACAGCCAAACCTAATAGTTGGTAATCTGCAATTAACTCATTTAATGGAACTAAAGTTGAGTACTTCCATCTTTGTGGCACAGACAAAATACTGTTTTTGCATCACATTCAAACCCAGACAGAAGAAGAAAAAAGATTCACTTCTTATAGCAAGAACAGCCCGAGAGGCTATGAAACACACATACTGCCTATGTGGGAAAGCATCCATTAAGCATTTACCTCCATAAAGGCTGAACAATCCTTTAAATGCTATTTTCATTAAGGAAAATGTTCTGAAATCTGCATCTAGATCCTGATCTGCTTTGGAATATGCCCCGTCTGAGAATATTGTGTTTTTGTAGAAGGATGAATTGTGGATGAATTGAATTTATGCCCATTTAAATTGATCCTTTTTCTGTAGCAATGGCCAGAGGGCAGAATGCAATCAAATTGCAGGATTATTTTGAGTTGATATGAGCATATGACATCTTATTTGGTTACAATTGCACGATGCACTCAGTAGTTACAGTTTACACAAATGTGTAAATAACTCCTTGTCAAACTGCCTACAACAATCTGGAAACCGGTCTTTAGAAAATCATATGGAATCAAAAGAACAAAGAACATTTTATATATAATTCTTATATATTATAATTGTTATATATTATTGGGAATGTACCAATAATACCTGTAGGAGACAGAGAATCATTAAGGCTAAAATGAACATATCCTATACCAACATATTCACTGTGAACCACACAATTAAGACATCTATGGCTCAAACTTAAGATGTTTTATCCAAAACATAGAATGCCAATCAGAAACGCTACAAGGAAATACCGTATAATTAAAAAACAGGTTTGATTACCTGCCGCATTGATCGTGTTGTGCCACATACAGGAAGGAAGCATGCAGCTGTCTTTGGCAAAAGCTCAAAGAGGAGAGTTCTGTGTGGTCTAGACAACCTGCCTGCCAGGTGTTGTTCAGCAGAGATGGTGTGTCAGGTACAGTAACTGTCACTACATGTTAACCTCTCAGCCACTCGCGGCAAGTGTCTGAGGGTAAAGACGATACTGTATCTAACTTACAGTAGAATAACAAAGTGTAAAGGAGCTGCTCACATAAAAAAAAAGCATTTTTCAAAGTGCAACCTGCATCCTACACTTAAATGTAGCATGTCACAGCTGCACGTCCATCAACCAGACAATAGATCAATAGTTGCTAAAAAATAATGTCTCCCTTTTGACGTCAACGAGTGTACGAGAATCATTACCATTCCAAGCACAGACAGGCCTGAATGTGTGTGTGTGTGTAACACTTAATGGTGAGGACAGGACCCTTGGGGCTAAGGTTGGGTGTCACACAAAGGGCTAAGAGCTCACCTAACGGAGTCTACCCCTGATCCGCCTCTCACTTTCGGTGTCGGGGGGGGGGGGGAAATGGTGTGAATGACATCACTCCTCACATTTCAACGAGACAAACTCCCGTCTTCTTATTTACCGTCTGCTAAAAGTCATAAATCCTGCCTCTGGTTCACTGTTCACCTTTCACCCTCTTAAACTCAAGACGACAGCTCATTCTAACGTCTCCTAACAAACAGCTGATAGGGTTCTCACTGGTTCGTTTATCTTCCACCTGTAGGGATGTTCGCGGCACAGATTCTCAACCACTTTGGTGTCAAACATCCCAAATTACTTCTTTAATTAGAAAATAAAACCCAATAAACTTGCATCGTGACTTCACACTGATCTAATTGTTTAAGTATAAATGTGATTATAGGTCTGACAGGTCTGACGAATGTGAATAATGTGAGGAACTGTGTAATTGGGTAGGGACGTGTCACCACCTGTGTGTATTGCCATTCACAAAGTTCAGATTCCTCTCCTGATAAAGTCAAAGAATCCCAGCGGGGTATCAGTCAGCAGGGGCTGTTACCTGGAGCCATGGGTGCAGTGTTTCAGGTGAACTCTGAGTGAGCGTAACGCCACACCAGCTTCAGACGACGGGCTCTTTGTTCCACGCCGTGTCTCACCAGACACAGATGGGGAGGAACACCGAGTAACACACCTCTGGCGCAGCAAACATCTTTGTCGACGTGCCAAATGCGATGGGAGCAGCCAACAGTGGTGGAGGTTTTGGATGTATTTAATGAGGCAATTAGGTAAACACTGTGTGGTTTGGCTCACTGGGGGAATAAATTAACAACCTGCTGAGAGAGGTGTGAATCACTGGATTATCTGCAATTAGATGAAGATGTCACGTTTTGACGATGCAATTCAATACAACTTGTTTTTCTTTTTCAATTCAATATAATCTATGACTGTTTCATAATATATAACTTGTGCATCAGTGCAAAATACAAATTTTTGCATCCCTACCTGCTAAAATGGGAAAAGGCTGTTTTCTTATGAATTCATTAAAAAACAAACTAAAGTAAATAATTGCAATCTTCAAATTGCTTGTGTTGACCAACCACGAGATCAAAAGCAGCAGGTATGAATATTATAATGATATAAGACAGAGAAAAGCAGGAAATCCTCACATTTATGAATCTGTAACCAGCGAATGTTTAGCATTTTTCTTTGCTAAAAGTTAATTGGAATCAATATTGCCGTCGAATCATTTTCTGTTCACCAATATATTTATTTATTGACGAAGCATTTCAGCGCTAAAAGGAGAGTAAATGAATCCCCAGAAAGGAATAAGTCCATTATCGTCTTGCTCGACAAATCACTTCACAATACTTCCTGCATGAAATACTCAAACATCAAAAATTGAGCTCCAGATGTGGACCATCCATTAAGATGCCTAAACTTTGTTTTGGTGACATTACCGACGACGTCATTAACTACATTTGTCTTAAGTCATGAACGCAAAAAAACATGGCTAGTTAAGTTCTGAATAGCTACGTACATCTCTGCTTCCAACCAACCTGCCTCAGCTAACAGGAAGCCATTAGACTGTCGGCAATAACCATTTACATCCATTCAGCCAGCTCTGACTTTATTTCCATCCACATAAGTGCATTTCCTACGAGAGGTTAAAATATGGATCCCCCTCCTTTTTCTCCTCAATGGGTCTGGTTGTCTGGCTGACTTGAGAGGGCACAATCTATGACTGATTTAATTTGCTCTTTACGAACATCTCTAACAGCATTACCCCCAGAGCATACACTGACTGCCCCCATCTGACTCCATTAACTCCCAAATCAGGTTTAAAGACCATATTGATGCCGTCCGTTATTAAGGGTGATTATCAAAACAACAGACAATGGGCCAAAGTGTCTGTTAACTAGTTTATCCATCATTTCACATAACTGTAACAGATGGCAAGGCTGTCAATTACATACTGTATCTGCTGCACACACAGCGGCCACACACTGTCTGGATATGCAGCATATTAGCCTTCACATTAAAAGAACGATAGTCTGCTCACAGGTGGTCAGAGGAAATTGACTGTGCAAGCAAAATAGACTATGATATTAAATGTCGAACATAGAAATACATCAATATGAGAAAACAGTGAGAACTTGACAATTACCAGCTGGCGTTTTTTTAGATATCACCGTGGGTCTTTCTGTTCAGTAATAATAAAAAAAATAAAGTCAGAGATAAAAATGTTGCCGTTCAGTCCACTTCACCACCTTTATTCTCCTCAATTAACAAGAATGGCTTTTGAAACTGTAATTAAGTGTCTCTGCTCCACTCGGCCTCTTCATTATTCATGAATCCCTATTGATCATATCTTACAAGCTATACTGTGGGGACCACTGTAATATCCTGACTCCCCAAAACAAATAGCTGAGCTTCCCGAGTTAAAATTAACAACTTGGCCAGTGACCAAAGAAAAGTCTCCATTAGATACTAAATCTAGCTTTTGATGCTAAATTGGATGATGTCAGAGAATCATTAATAGGAAAGATCTTGTATGAAGCCTCTTTGGACTTATTAAATATATCATAGCAAAGGTCTGGGCAATAATTAAATACTATCCTTTATTGAGCTCCAGTGGAGCCATATTAGTAGGCTATGATCACATCATCACGGTTGCAACTAATGATTATTTCATTACCAGGTAATCTGCACATTATTTTCTGAATTAATAATTTTGTCAATAAAATGTCTGAAAATAGTGAACAATGCTGATTTACCAGAGCCCAGAGTGATGTCGTCAAACTGCTTTGTTTTATCCACCTAGTAGTGAAAAACTCAAAGATATTCAGTTTACTGTCATTTATGACAAAGACAGGCATCTGATCCTCATGTTAGATAAGATGGTACGAGAATGTATATCGAAAAAGGATGAGATATTTTACACAATGTTTTATCTTGATATACAGTGCAATGATATAAAATAGTATCCTTTATTATTTTATATCATTGTACTGTATATCACCATAAAAAATCTCGGTACAAACATAGAATATTAATGGGTATCATAGATAATAACACACAGGTATTACCCACGCCTTGCACAACCACAGCTCATTCCACATTCAAAGAAATTATTTTGTAATGAATATTAATGGTCTGGAGCTTTATTTTAAACATGTATTCAAATTTACTGAAACTCAATCTCCACCTGTGTTAAGTAGGAATGTGTAAAACATGAACTCTACTGGATGATGTTTAACTAAATTAACAAAAGAGCGCGTGGAGAGCCCTCAAACATGACTGGTATTACATGCCGGGTGATGAATTTGGAGGAAACACATCGAGTCATCTTCAAATTGACAGATGCAGAATCTCTCCACGGGACTCTTCACAGTGGCATAGTGCTCGAGTGAAAAAATAGATTTTACCAAGTTTAATCACACGCTATTACAAGGCAGCTTTTTATCATTGCCTTCCACTGTACGAGTGCTGGTGTCTTCACTAGTTCATTACAGACACTTGTGAATCTGCAGCACCCTTCTCGTGTGTAATTGCATGGTTAGCTTTCCTCTGTAGCTTCCTACACACACTCGGGTGCAAATTATTTGCAATTCCAGTTTCCTTTCGAGAGCGATGTTGCAATTACAGAAATCTGAACATCACCGGTAATTTCCCCACAATTTTCATTTTTGTTGAAATAACGCAACGAAGAGATCTTTTTCTTTCTGGGAAATTCTTCGGTGAACTCTGAGGGGCTGACAATCTGATAAAGTGCACTCAGTCGGTGAAACAACTTCTAAGGATCTTTTTCTTGGTAACTGAAAATACATACGTCTGTGTTTGTGCGGTCCAACAGCATCCACTCACAAGTACACAGGCTTTTAGAGAAATGACAGGCACTGCCATGTTCATATTCTAATTTGTTTAGCAAATAACATTTTATACAGCACATAAAAGGATTCTGCCATATATGTGAATGATTCTTACAAATGGTTTATAATCAATAGAAATGGGTGCTGCACATATTTTCTTTTAATGGATCAATACTTATTTTTCTCCACATAAAAAGAGACCAAAAAGCTGCAGCGGCTGTCATTATTATCTATTTAGACAGCAGAATTTGCAAGCTTTGTAAATGGCTATCTCCTGGCCTTTTGTGTGCCTCCATTCATTATCACCACAAAGCAGTTGATGTCTCCCCTCTCCGCCTTCTCTGTGCTAAGCACCCGGGCGCACGGTAGACCGTCCATTACAGGCTCTGTGACGCGTGCTGCCTGGGAGATGGCCAAACGGAGAGGAATGTCAGCGAGGAGTTAAATTAACAAGCTACATCTGTGCGGAATCTGTAGACGGTCAGAAAGACGAGCTGTACCTACGGTAACCGAAGTCTGATTAGTTGTTAGCCGAGATGTTGGCAGTATATTTGCAGCCTTTCGCCTGCTGGCTTCGCCTCTATTAATCAGCTGACATGGTGAAGTAGTCAAGTTACGCTTGTAGGAACTCAATTGTTGTTTCTCAGCTATGCAATTACTAGACAGACACTCTATACGCTGACCGAGAGTAAGGAGACTTTTTTTTTTAAACACGAGGGCTCCATTACTACTCCTCCTCAATAATCCGGATTATATAAACTGGTACAAAGAAGTCATGAAGTCAAATTTCAGAAGAGGAGACGACATGAAGATGAACAATATAAGTAACCTGCACTTTAAATTATGACATGAATAGATCCTTAGCTCTTTCTCTCTCTCTCTCTCCCTGACACACACACACACCCAATGTAATTACCCCTCAATCCATACAAATTGAATGAAGCCAGACCCGTGGTCTAAGAATATAGACCATAATTAATAAATTACAGCCACTCTACTCAATCATTCTCCACTTTGGGGACATGTAGACATCCCATTCTCCGCAGAGTAATCGACTGAGCCCACAGAAAACACACCTAGTGCCTCCACGGTGGCTTTGTGGATGCATCTGGTGCCACCTCTTACAACCAAACAGATGCCCGAGTGAAACCGTGGCTCATATCGCAGATCTTCTATCCTGTGTGTTTACAAGTAACAAATCAAAAAGCATGCATTATTTCTGGGCTCTCAAAATACGCCTAGGGGAGCTATCAAGTTTCTTTGCCACCCCCCAAGCTTCCCCTCGCAGCTGCTGCACACGAGCGAGGATACTTCTTGTTTTTTTTTTTTGGTCTGAAGAGTGGGCGACACAGTCGTGGAGTCCAAAAGAGCAAATGTTAAGTTTCGTACGAATCCAGGGGCAGAATCTATTTCTCCTTGTGGTTTGCAGCTAAATGCTTGGAATCTGATAATGGGAAACACATATATACCCCTGTTTGTATTTGAACATGCTAAGTGGGGTAGCAGAATATTCACCATATATTCTCCAAGTCACATTTCTGTGTGATGTTTGGGTGGGGGTTCACTGCCTCCATTTACAAATATTTCTTTGGAAATAATATATTTTGTTGTCACCGTGTGTGTCCCCTTGGGCAAGAAAAGGGCCGCTGGAGACCATCTAATGATTGTTGGGTCATGTATCAAATACACAGCAGCTGGAGGCGAGAGTACATACAGTCTGGATTTTTGGGGTGGGGGTGTGAATTAAAGCCTGAGAGGAGTCTGAAAGGAAAACCCGGACTGAGTGTTTTGGTGCTGAGGGTGGGTGCGAAATCCATAATGGATGCTGACCAGGGGTCGTACCCACTGGACCTTAAGAGCTCTGACCTTTGACTGTGTAACAATTACTTCATTCAACTAATTTCTCTAACAAGTAGTATTGAAGCACCGTCGCACAAGCAAAACAAATTCAATGGTTGTGAGTGATTTCAGGCAAAAAAAAAGAAACCGAAAACTAAATTATAATTTTGTGTAAATATCATCAACCACTGCAACACTTACATTTATTGCCACATTGACAGTTAAGATTACCTTTCATACCACCTGGAGAGACAACATGTAACCAATTAGCCAAATCATTACCTTCCAATAACATAAACAATTATTATCAACCGATCAGAGAATGCGAATAAGCTCAAATTATGCTTATTCACATTCAATGGCCGCGCAATTGCCTTGATTCAACCGAGTGAGCTAATGAGTACCTTGCAGGCAGGCAGAGTGACACACCACAATAAAAAACTGAAGAGTTTAGGCAGTAATTAACTCTGGGAGTGTTAATTGGAAAGGATCTGAGAGAGTGGACGAGTGTGAAACATGTTTTTTAAACAGTAAAAAAACATCTTTTTCTCGATTGTATTTTTTCTTAAAGACCGCTCTTAGTCTAATTGCATCACTTCTAAATAAATAAACATGTAATTTGCTTGATGATTATTAAATAAATAAAAAACTGTACAACCTGATTTTTTTTTTTATTGAATGTCTCTTGACCAAAATTGTATTGTAATCACCAAATTGAGTGTGTATACAGAAATAACTTGATTTTTAATAATGTCCCTAATTGTTTTCAAATAACTGTAACATTGCTGTGGTGTTCTGCAACCTCCAGCCTTAATCAAACATGTGTTTTTCCAGTTCCCAGAACAAGAGGAAGATGCCTGAAACCTGAGCGAGACAGTCATAAAGTACTACTGCCACCTGCTGGTCTTCAGGTTCATGTAGGCCTTTTTTTTTTGCTTTACATTATATGGAGCCGTTGAAACAGCATCCATACTGTCATCTACAGACTGTACCTCTGGTCCTGGGGGCTCATCACAGTGGACTGACCTGAGGAGCATGTCCCAGCAGGGCCCACAGCGAATCAGCCGACAGGGTCTTGACTCTGGAAAACTCGAGCGTTTCTGTCTCCTGTCGGTTGAGAGCGATGTACTGGCAGCCCTGGAAGTCTCCTTTCAGCTGCTCGCCACAGTGCAGACTCACCAGATCCCACGTCCCCACCCTCCTCAGGACTTCACGCACGGACTCCATCTGCCTGTACGACAGACGACCTGCAGGACAAAATGAAAATGAGGAAAAAGGCAACCTGGTAGCATTCTTGTCAAAAGATTGCTTAATTTAAATCATAATTACAGTGTAAAGAATATATAAAAACATCTCAAGTTGTTGAGTCCTCTTATCACGTTAAAACATTTGCAAGGTCAGTAAGATTATTATCATATTTTGAGTACTTTTGGGGCATTTCATGTCGTTTTTAGAGAGTCTACAGGAGAGAGGTGATAGGAAATGATTGGAGGGAGAGATGGGATGACATCCAACAAAGCTCTTCAGTAAAATTCAAACTGGGGACTTTGCGATTCATGGTCAAAACTCATTGGCGGTTTCAAAATTGTTATTATGAAATACTAGATTCACTCACTGCACTAGAATGAAGAGAAACAACACTGATGATTCAATGTTTTTTTAAAAACATGTTGAACTTTTCTTTACACGAGTGCAGCAGTCTGTTTCATTCTGTCGATTTTGGAAACAAGCCGATTCGGAAACTGCACTTGCAGATTTCGCCAATAGAACATCAATTGAATCCCTCTGTGTATTAATGTTTATATTTTATAGAACCGCTCACCGGAGAGCCAGGATGGAGTCAGTGCATCTGATATCCAGGCCATGTAGCCCTCCCTGAAAGATTTGAGGAAGTCGTCTGTCTGGCCGTGAGAGATCAGCTCCCTCCTCTTCCTCAGCTCCTCATCTAGCTCGCAGTCTGGAGAGAGGAGGAGAACCCTGGGGAAAAAGAGGCTTTGGCGCACAGGTACTCCGCTCCTCTGCAAATGGCTGCATAAGTTAGCGGTCTTGGTCTAGAGGAGAAGAATTTAGGGATGCAAGTAATGACAGTTAGTGTTACACCTGTGTAGGTCTTCAAGTAACCAACATAGATAATCAATTAACAGACAAATCCTTTAATTGGTTGATCATTTCAGCATTGGGAGTTTTTTTTATCCAAAAATTAGAAATTTGTCAGATGTGCTAACATTCACACAGGATGCCTCTGTGATAAACAGTTATTTAATGACATAAAAGACACAAATGCAGATGTCCACTTTTCAATAAAATTAAAAAAAAGGACCCACTTATAGAAATTATACAACTTTAAATTGGCCCAGACGGTGAATCTGTATCTGCTTTGTGTAGAATAACTAAGTTAATACGTGCCGATTCAAGCAGAACTATTTAAACAATGCGGTGTGTGTTTGCCATCAGGCTCTTCTGTCAAGCTCTCAGTCCAAACTGAGCGTCTATAGAGATGGAAATGAATGACTCCTGACAGACCCAGGCACATAAGGTGACAGCTGTGTTTAGGCACCTGCCTGCTTTCACCCCTTTCTGAATATAATTATGGCCTTTCAAATGAAGAGCGACCACTTAGAAAGTTTGGGAAGCCCCGTTGTAGTGTTTGAAATTTCCATATAAATTGTTATGGTGACTCAGAATCTCTTCACCCGGCTGGAGTTCAGATGACAACAATGTCCTGGACAACTGATTGGACCTTGGACACAAGAGTGCCAGACAGTTTGACATTTAGGCTTTCATGATGGTATTTCGACATTTCAGCTAAATGTGTCTTATTTAGTTTTTTACCATGATAGCTTTGACGGGATCTTCAATCTGCTCAATGCAGGTATTGGTAAAGTTTCGGTCCTCTTCCTTCACTTGCACGTGCCAGGTCTTGTTGTGAGCGGACACTGTGCCTCTCCAGGGTTTTACATCTATGCAGAAGATCCCCTGGCCTTTTAGTAAAAAGAAGAAAACATTAGTGAGGTTTTACTGAGACAGAATACCACAGATGCTGTCCCTAATTCTGTACTCAAGACCTCAAGGACAAATAGATGAAATCCTCCATCACCGTTAATTATATATATATCACGATAGCGCTATGTATTGTGATACAAAACATTTTCTGTAAATTTATTAGCTAAAATATTCATGGATGTATAAATAATTGGATTGTAATACCTCAAATACATAAAGGAATACATAATATTGTGATCACTATTGGTGCGTTTGCAACACTGTCGAGCAAATCTGTAATGTGAATATGAAGACATTTTGACACGTCACAGTGGGAAACAATAACACTATGGATGACTGAATTCCATTTAGCGCCTGCAGTTTGATCGTGCTGGTATTCTTCATGCTGGCTTACAGGGACACTTTAATAGGCCCTTTTCACAGCGGCCATTTTGACATGTCACGGCAGGGTAAACACAGGAGTAAATGATCAAATTAATAATGGTTCTATTTAGTGTTTCACAGTCATTCCAGTGAGGCAGCATGCACATGCAGGGCCCTGGTCCCCCTATAGCCAACAGGGCCTTAATTAATGTTATTGATTACACCTGTGTTAACTCTGCAATACCACGTTAAAAAAAGGCTGCTGTGCAAAGAGCCTGTAGAACAAAGCCATCGTTAGTGTTATCAGTAACACCTGTGCTTCTCCTGCTGTGACAAGAAAATGTCTGCAGTGACTCAGCCTTAAAGACCTGGAAAAAACTAAAGTTTAAGAAATATCTCAATATTATGAAAACCAACATTCAGATAATATTGAATCCTACACCAAAAAAAAAATCTGTATTATATTGATTTACTGTGCAGATTTTTTTAATGAAAGGCCATTTTATTCTAGATACCAACCTGTGAGGATAACAATGTTGATGTCATCTTTGGCGGCCTGAAACTGGTCGCGGATACGCAGATGGCCGTAGACGTCTTCCTTCCTTATCCCGGTGAGTTTCCTACAGTAAAAGGACATGTAAAAAAAAAAAAGACAATATGAAATGCAATATGAGGTATTTTGTGCAAAACAATACTTCTGAAGCTGCATTATTGATTTCATTTTGGCCACTTGAGGGCATTGGAATAAGCTGCAAACACAATATTTAAATATTATAAAGTTGCTACAGCAAATGTGTTGGCACGTCCAGCAGACGCAAAGCAACATTAGCATTCACTTGGAGTTGTGTTTCTGTACACTACACTAATGTAAGTCCAGTATTCATTCTCCTGTTGGTTCTGTTTTAGTCTCCACCAATTCCTGAAGGAAAATTCTGGCTCTTTAGCTGCTAAATGCTCCACCGTGTTAACCAGCTAGTCGCTAACTTTGCCTGTCTGTCGTTTGGGCAGGCAGTGTACAGCAGCTTTTATTTTTTATAACTAAGTTTATTAGAGCATAACAGTAAAGTGGTGGCTGTAAAACCAAAACGATAAGCTGGAAGATGCTGTAGGGCTAATGGGAACTGCAGAGTGAGGTTCATCATCACTACAAACAATCCTGTTACTTATATAAACATATTTATCAATGAGACGTCACACATACACAATGCTTACCTGACATGTTGTATAAAGTCAGGTAGTGTTGGTGTCTGATGTGGGCTTTGACTTTGAGCACTTTCTGAAGCTTTGGAGCTGAGATGAAACTGTGTGAACAGACTTCCAAGCTGAGGCATTCTAGTCTTTATCTGAAAAAAACAACATTAACTTATGAAGCAGTTTGATTAAAAGGCAACATTCAGTAAAACAACAATGTTACTGAGGGAAATGCATTCATAGCTTTAGATTTTGGCTTTCCTCAGTAACAAAATGGTGTCAACATGGTGTTTAGACAATACTGAACATGTTGTTGTAGCCAAATCAGATTAAAGCCAGATTAAATGTAAAACATTATCTTAATTGCTCTTGTGCTTGAAAAGCATGCTAACTGCTACATTCAGGCTTTACAGCGTTGATGACGACACTTGATCTCGAGGACTCTGTAGAGAGAACAAAGAGTAAAAGACAAGTCTGGCACGAGCTCTAAAACAATAACAATACATACTGATGGGAGTCTCGCGCTGCTTAAAGAGCCGTTCAAGAGGAAAAACGAGGGAATTCAGCTCGACATTTTCGCGACGTCAAAGTCTACGGGTCTCTTTCCAAATGCTGAACAACGTAACTCAATCCAGGAAAGCTATTTCACAATTTCACCGCCGCCTCCTCGGCTCTCCAGCCGCACTTCCAATGTTCCTGGAAGACGTAAACAACATACCACGTGGTGCCACTTGCAGCATCGTATTTCGCATACGGGGACATGACGTCAGGACACGTCACTTAGTCTCGCAGTGTTTGTGTGATACATTTAGGAAACGATTCCTGTTATTCCCATGTGATGTTTTGGACCAATAGTCTGCATGACAAGCTGTGGTGGAGTAAATACACAACACCACAGTGGAAAAATACTTCACGGAGCCAAACTGGAAGTATTTATGAATGTACTCTAGTATCAAAAGTGCGGAGTTTACTCTTGCTGTCTGATTTAAAAACCTTGTATCTCCAGCTCCAAAAAAATGGAAATTTGAACATTTACAATTGAATAATGAACTTCGAACCTGCACATTGTATCAACAATTTGGGTATTTTCATTATAAATCCGTTGCTCATACAGATTGAAAGAAGTCTCTTTAAAAAAAAAAAAAAAAAGTTAGGCCTAGTCAAAAAATAAGAGAATATAAACAATCTATAGCCATCGTTTTAAAGCAAACACCAAAACATTAACAAATAAAAATCCAACACTATTTATAACACTACATTTTGTATACCTGTTTTGTGTTTGACACAAATAATCGTGGAATTTAAAATATTTCACAAAATTACAGCAATCTACAATAAAAGAAGAATATGAGTCATGGGGGGGGGCAATTTGTGCCTCGACAAACTATTGTGACTGAAAGATGGATAAGTCATAGCTCATAGATGCTCTGCGTAAGGATTTGCTTGCACGTCCTGAAGAATCCTCACATCCTGCATGAGCCTACTGAGAGGATATTACAAAAGTGATGAACAATATTTAATTCAGCAGTATATACACACGGAATATCTCAATATGGTGATAAACAATATCCGGATAGCACCAAATACCATGAAAGAGCTTAATATCAAGAGCAGATAGCCAAATCAGCTCATATGGGCTCAATGGAAGCCAATAAACAGAGGCACTCTGCCTCCTCTGACCTTCACTTCTGGTTGAGATCGGGGCGATAAAAGCAGGCGCAACCTCAATAAAACCCATACAATGGAGTAAAATAAATAGATATTAAATTAAAGCAGAGGCAATACTGGCTGAACTGCTGCAGGAATTTGAGAACAAAAGCTTCCTTGTGCAGTTTAATATTGTCTACAATCACCGCCTCATGATACGTTTTATCATTTTCATCTCTTGCCTTCACGTATCAACACATATAATCAGTTTGTATTGGAACTTGCAAATGACTTGTGTGTGTGTTTAGATATTAAATGTGCCCCGTGCTCCCAGTTTGGCCTTTTTCGGTTGGAGTTAATATCAAATTCATAATCCCTCATCTCTGACTGTCCACCGACGAGGAGTTTATGGTGTCAAACATGGTCATGAGAGCATGTTTGTCTGCCACAAACTTTACACTGGCTGCATGTTGTGTTCCTTTTAGGCATTAGGTTCACCAAATAACGACGTGAAGTATTTCACAGATGAATTAGCAGCTGCTTATTTTAGTGTCGTTATACGTACTGCTGCTCTAAGAGCCATATTGTCTTCAGCCTTTTTGTCATGGGCTGAAATACAGGCCTACTTCAGGTCCACCGCATGCTTTAAGTGGTTCCCGAAGCCTTGCATCTACCGTTGCGTTAATGTTGTTTTCACCTAATGCACCTGAAGAGCGCCGCTGTGTGTTTGATGAGTTGCTGAGGGTTTTCAGGTCCCCTCTAAAGAGTAAATAGAAATCAGAGTTCATACTTGTGGGTGGGCTTAGCTAGTGTTGTATAGACAGTATAAAGCGTAAGTATAATCTGGAGAATGATAGTATATGAATTTCATGTATTTGTCAGAATCGGACTGCAGTACAAGCAGATGATATTCAGTTTCTAGTTAATAAGTTTAAAAAAAAAAAAGAAGAAGATAATAATTTTTCACGCTGGTGATATTTCCATTCTCAATCCTTCAAATCAAATATCTCATTTGCAGAAGTAATGGCTACATGACACGGCTGATACTCTGCTCACTAATTTTTGCTCATTTCCTTTGAATTATTAATATAAGAGATTCTCCATATGCTCTCAGAGGATTCTTGTCCATTCCTTTCTGAGAGAATTAGCATTTTACAGTGAAGAGTATGAAGAGCTTAACTGCCCCAATCAAACCGGGTGATTTAAATCCTGTCTAATGGAGATATTTCATAGGGGTCACAGATGGATGACCTGAAGTAAATGGTCTGGAAATGTTCCCGGGTCTCAATCCCCTGTATAATTATCACCATTTCACCTGAAAACGCATGGGTGCTGAAAAGAGGTATTCAGAATAATACTCTATAAATGAGATCAGAGAACCCATTTTTTGCTAATTTGCTGAATGTGAAATAACTAACAAAACTAAATAACTAATAATCCCACTGACATAGTTAAAACAGTTAAACCATGGGCTCAAAAAATGAAGCGTGAAAAACCTTCATTGTGACTGGCCTGCCTCAGTAATTAGCTGTGCCATATGAAGAGGTAATTTGTATGCTAAAGTTTAATTGTTCAATTATCCCTGGATGTGAGAGGAGGCCTTGATGCCATTTCATCATGTTTGAAAATAGTGTTGAACCTCTCGTGCCACATATTGTAATAGTTGGCAATTACAGAAAGAGCCCTCTAACTAAGTTGATTGATGCAGGCTGGCCCTGCTGAAAGGCCTTTGCTACCTGCCGGGTGCAGTCGTTGGCAGTGAAGAGGCGGTCCAATCAACCTGCAAAGCTGAACCAGCCGGGCTCTCGCTGTGGGAAGAGAACCTCGACTAGCTGCCGATGGACAGCATAAACACCAACTGCATAAGTACTGAGGAGGACAACATGTTAAAACAACATTATTACAAAAACAACTGGAGATTAGTTGAGCATTTGTTGTAGGAAAAGAAGCTTACTTTTATGTCTTCAGGCTATAAACGGATAGAGGAACTAGTTCACATAAATAATGAGCGTTTTTTATGATGCCCTGGATGCAGTTTCAAATAACATCTTTGCCTAGTCCTCAACTTTTATTTCAACTGGGACATTTGTCTATGTTCTCTGAAAGTAGCTTTCATTGAGGCTAAAATCTGGGATTAGGTTTTGGTTCAGTTACTCTATATTTATTTACCATAGCGACCTCTAAAGGAAGGCAAACAAAAGATAAACACTGTTTGTATTGTTACTCTGAAAAAAGTATTACTACTTAATTTAGGTATATTGTTTTTTGAAAAATGACAGTGTGTGTGTAGTAAAGTATGTATGCTCTTTAATAATTACTACAGAGAATGAAGAAGCCTAGTGTTGCCATCTACAGGCTGCAATGAAAGGCATCATTGAGCCGATCACAAAGCCTCAGAGTGTGGGTACAGCAGTATTACATACATGAATACCCTCATTGACTTTACACAACAGGAGCCAAGTAATAAAGCAACAGAAATGATAGACATAATAATAATGTGAGAGATATTCTGTGGGGACACTGAATTGCATTGAGATACATGTAATCTGGACTCTACAGGAAGTTGGTAAATAGGAAATAAAATGGTCTCTATTTTAGATGCGCGAAATACATTTATCACGTAGTTACAGATCCACAATCAGTTACTGACGACGAATGAATATGGTCCATTTCATGCTTTTCAAGGGTCCAGATGGGAATCCCGTAGACAAAAGGGGGCCCTTCACTCGCACCCAGCTTTTCAAGATTCTCATTAGAGTGCTAAATTGAACCATATGTGTCCAATTTGTAATTACAGCCTCCTACACAATGAGGGGGGGGGGGGACAGAATGTATTTGATAGAGAAAATGTGTACTCTATTAAAGGCCACTCAGTTAACAACAGCAACAACAATACAGGACGTGATAATTTTTGGCTTTTACAGATGGATCTTATAAATGTAGTTTTGTATTTCATGTAAACTTGGAGATGAGGAAAAGCTGTCTTTGGGAAGATAGTTAAGCAACAATACAAAGCTGACACATTAGCGATGAAATAATCACAATAAACAACATTTAATTTATACGGTGCAGAGGAGCACTGGAGTCGACTGAGCCCTGCCTGCTTTGGTTTCCACATATCTTCCTGGCTGAGGGAAGGGTACGGTTCAGTTGTTTGTGTCAGTATGTGGTTACGCTAGACCCTCGGGGAGCTAATGCTAATGTGCTCGTGTGACTCGGGTGACATGTTGCACATGTTATTGTGGCAGCTCACTTGTTGGTGAGGAGTATGTAGGGGATTTCTTATTCAAAGAGCTTTACTTAAGGTTAATAAAGACATTAGAATATCATTTAAAAGCACAATGGAAAATAAGATACAGTTAACTAAAATAAACTTTTGTTTTGAATTCCTTCTTTCTGTTTCCATCGACAGTCTTTTCTTGCTGAGAGACTTTTGTACTAAAAAGTATTTTACTTTGAAATATACTTGATTTGTCTAACTCAGACTGCTGGGTATTCTCATTTCTAGCATTTGGCTAAACTCAGGAATGCCTTTCAACACTGAACAGACTCTGTACATTATGTCCCCGATCACTTACCTTGGAGGCACAAGAGATTCCTTTCTAGCCGGTATATGAATAACAACCAAAACACATGAGCCTATCCGATAAGCTCGAAGTTGGTAAACTTGGTAACGTTTTCTTGTTCCAAACATCAGCTAATGATTTGAGATCAGATTGAAAATAGTTAACTAATAATAAATTCATTGCCAGACATTACACATTGAAATGTGCTGGATATTTCTGCCCAGGGAACAGAGGATGACTTCTCTGTTAAGGGCACTTTTGAACCGTATCACCATATTCACCTCAACTACTGCACTTGTGCAAATTTAAATCTTGTGTGAATCTATATCTCACTGTGTATTCAGATCCAGATTATTAATTATTTATTATCAAAAAAAGAAATTGTTGGTTGAGTTATACACATTTTCTGGTTAAATAACAGCGGTTCGAGGTCAGGGTTCTATAACAATGTTTCATATTCATTTAGGTGATGAAACAC